GCAGCAGATGCCTAGATCATGTGCATCAAACACACGGCAATAGAACAGTTTAGAAGCAGACTGGTGGACTGATGACTCACTCACTCACCACAGCACATAAATCGCGCAGTTGCGTTTCAACCAAGATTTGCTGTACCGGTAGAGCATAGTCGAATAATAAATCGAAAACAGTCATCAGTCGTTGAGTGCCATCGTTCTGTCCGGTACTCGCAGGAAGTGTTGCAGAATGGTGTTTACTATCTACATGCCTACGTGAACATCTCCGTCCACTATTCTATGATTCTATTTCACGACATGCTGCGATGCAGTTTTCGGATTCTGGGGGGAAGTTCTTCTGTTCCCCCAAATACTGGCTTCAACACAATATTCATTCGTAACGCAACAACGAAACTGAAATACTGTAGGACCTATAATAGCCAGTATCGTAATAATAATATTACGATACTATATTCATGACATTATATTGCAACAAAGCTACCTATTAAGATGATGAAAGCTTGGACGGCACCGCTTCAAAAGATATGGCCTGTATTGATTTTTCTGAGTAGACGAAACATATCTGTTGCATTTTGTCACATGGAATCCAGCCGAGGTGCCGAGGGTCCTAGTAGTAGACATCCCAACAAATTGTTTGGCACCAGCGCAACCTCGGAAGAATTTACTCAAACGCTGCCATTTTCCAACGTTCCGGAAGTTATCATTGCTGTTGAAGCAGTCCGTAAAGCGGCAAAGATTACAGAAAAATTGCAAAAGACCATTGATGCAAAAGGGACACTGACCAAGGATGATGAATCACCAGTAACTGTTGGAGACTTTGCATGTCAAGCGATAGTTTTGCAACATCTTCGAGAGAACCTCCCAAATGGAGTCACCCAGACCTTTTTGGCAGAAGAAAAGAGTTCCAATTTGACCCCCGCACTGACGGAGCAAATCCTGAAGGCCTTATCAGACACCACTTCGATCAATGACGAAGACACTCTTCGGAGCTGCATCGACTTGGGACAAAATTTCTTTGATTCGCATGAGATTCCATCACATTTCTTCTGTCTGGATCCAATTGACGGGACCAAAGGCTTTTTCAGAAAGGAGCAATATTGCATAGCGCTTGGATTGCTGGAGAATGGAATGCCAACAATTGCAGTATTGGCTTGTCCAAATCTACCCTTTGTAGACGAGGAAGACGGTCCAGATGCAAAAATTGGTTGTATTTTTGTTGCATGCAAGGGTCAGGGATGTTATCAGCTTGACATGGAGGGAAAGGTAGAGCCGAAAAGAATTGGGGAAGGCTACAACGCAGAGCCTCCGCTGTCACACAAAGCAAGATTCTGTGTGGGTGTTGAACAAGGATTTGGCGATCCCACCGGGAAGGCAAAAGTCATGGCACAAGAGCTGCATGGATCGCTGGATGAAACTACGGATGATATCAAATACGCTACGCGGATAGACAGCCAAGCCAAATATGGTCTAGTCGCGAGGGGAGGAGGCGAGTTATATGTTCGCTTGCCAAGATTAGACTATGAAGAATGGATGTGGGATGTCGCTCCAGGAGTCCTGGTATTAGAAGAGAGTGGAGGCATAATCACAGATGCCAATGGGAACGATCTGGACTTTACAAGCGGCAGCAAACTTTCAAACAACTACGGAGTCTTGGGCGCAAGAAGCAAGCCGCTGTATGACGACTTGCTTGCATCCTGCAGAAGCGCTAGCCAGTAGCTACTGTCGAAACTGGAAGGTCTACCGCTAGTAAAGGTAACACAATAACGTTTGAAGCGTCTGCTGTGAAATTTGCAATTGCTTGTTGTGAGATTATTCTCCTCTAGAGTCGCCACCACAAAAATCGAGGGAGTCGACCTTCTATGACACTGAAAGACGTGTTCAAAGGAACCTATCTTCCGTACACGTCTTTACTTGCCTTTGGTCTCCACAGTTCCGATAATTCATCATAATATTTGCTTTACATCATTTACATCAAAATAATCACACTTGTTCGTCTCCGTCCAAGCACCATCAGTGACACTTGAAAATAGAGGTGCAGTAAGTTCACCATGAACGGAGCTGTCCCATGCTAAGTTCCTGGTACGTACCACGGAACCTCTCAGGAACGGGGAGTGAAAACATTTATCCTCTCGTTATGAAAACGAGGTACTGCAGAATTCCAGAGATCTGAGGTGTCAGGTCAAGTTTCTTCGCATCGATCGAAATTTAGCTGGCAGTTCTAGTAGAACTGCCAGCTAAGGTTCATACCTTCGTATTGGCCATCTGGAAAGTTACCAGAGCTCCAAAGAAACAGAGGATGCTTCTGCAGAACAGAACAGACGGATCAGCTGGACCAACGAGAAGGCAGTCTACACTGTAGTTCCAAAGAATGGAGGTGAACGTGACATCAGCACCTGCTGACGCAACGTCATTGACAAAAGAAGCCACGTAGCACAATTGTATTATATATGAATGCTACCAAAAACAGAAAGTGAAAGAGTTTGCGATGTCGATCTTTTTCTAAACATAATCGTAGCTTTGCGAAAGACGTGTGGTTTATCATCTCTTAATTGAAACAGACAAAGCCGTCCCTTTCATTCGACCGATATGCGCAAAAAACGAGGCTCTTCATTAACAAGTTTGGATTTTTCTGCCAAACCACCTCAGCCGCGACCAGCAGGTGTAGAAACAAACAAAGTTGTGCTGTTCACACAAATTCCAAACAATTTTCAAGGAATTCCAGATCACACCATGATGAAATCGAGGACCCCAGCCACACAAGCATTGAACAAGCTTACCAAGTCCCAAGATTCGCAATCTTCACTTGGTACCGAGAGCCAACGAGCCATGAAAAGAATGAGTATGAAACGATCGATGTCCTCAATGATGGATATGACCTCACTTTTAGAGGCGTCTGAGGAGATTGAAGGCTTCCATTCCTTCCCAATCATCGAGTGGCCTACCTTGGACAACAATCAGGATGCTAGTGATCTTTGCGCTCCACAGATCAAGAGACGCTGTAGCGGATTACCTCGTTGCATGAAGGCTTCCCTAAAACTGTCGTCTTTCACATCGACTCGCGGTGGATCGTGTGGGTCGATGTACTAAAGGAAAGACTATAATGGTCTTGAGCCACCCAGATTTTATGCCATGCCTTGAGTAAAAGTACTCAAACAAGCGGTGTCACTGTATGAACATTTATATTATGATGTACAATAGAGTAAAATAATACAGCGAAGAAAAACATGCCTAAACCAAAAAACATAGTAACCAGAAGGATTTGATATAACACCTGTTCCGTGGACCTTGAATGCAGCCACCACTACTACCTTCCACCAAGGCCGCTATTATACATATCGGCCTGCTGCTGGCTGCATCGTCACGCAGTGGGATGAGGTTATGACCATCATGCAAACACGGAAGCCTGCAACCATCAAACTATCGGTATGACAACCTTCAATATTTCTTCTGTTCAGGGTGCTGGAAAATGTAGTGGTGTAACCGGTACAGTGGTACTGTACCATGTAGCGGCACGTATAGTAGGCCAGACGAGAAGAACATTTCGTTCGTGAATAACATTAGTCGTGAAAAAGTTTCTCGCAAGATCGATACTGTAGCTTGTTTCATTGACTTCGAAGAAGGTATCAACAAGAAGCGCAAGGTAGTGAATGGTACGAAACTCAATGGATGCTTGAGCTCTTCCATCGCAAGCGACTTTCCTGAGCAGAGAATCAGATGTCAACTTTGACGACTTCTTTGAGTCAGTCCGAAGAAGGTATCAACAACGAGTAGGAGCGTAAGGTACTAGTGTACCTAGTGGCACTGATGAATGGTAACAGTAAGCTAGCCACTGGTGCCACCAGCGAGGAGCAAACAAGTCACGTGCCAAAAGCAACTGCTGTTGCAACTGATATTACAAGCACCACAGTCTATTGGCTACCGTGATTGACTAATATGTTTTGGAGGCCAAAATGTATCTATAGTATGTACAAGTTTCGTGTAGTTTTGGTCTCGGTTCGCAAAAGAAGAGCTCCTGTGTGCAAAATTGGATATCTTCTGCTGCTGGGTAGTATGTACATGGTCGACTCTTTGCGCAAGAGTCACTGTTTGTGCCTTTGCGGCATGCAAAATGAATTTGTAAAGAGAATGACCTTCGTGGTCAGCACTTTATGTCTAAGAGACACAACATGTGAATAGATTCTCGTAGCTCTTGCAGCGGGGGATCATTCCACTGCTTCTTCCTTGCAGTGTTGATGCGTTTGGTACTTGGTTGTTGACGTTCTGGTTGTCATCAAAGGACCATTCAATCGATGGAAAGTCCATTGCTCCCGTTGACTCTTGGAGAGCAACCTGGAGCGAGGACAATCCCATGGTACTGCTTGGCCATGAAGCTGTTTCTGTAGTATTCATGCATTGGTTTTCTCTGATCGAACTTCTTCGTTGCATTTGCTCGATTCGGTATTCGAGTGCGGCTGTGGCAGACATGTTCATTGAGTTGTTGTTTGAAATTTTTTCTTTCTTGTTTTGTGAGGATGATGTCCCATCACAAATCATGATTCAATTCGAAGGCTCTTCGAAGGCTATCCCATATGTGGTATCGAAGCTTCTCATTAAAATCTAGCAAAATGCTTGCCACCTCAGTGATTGATTCGCTTCTGGTACATTCTTTGGTTGCGTAAAAGGTTGTAAGAATGTCAATTGAAAGAAAACTTCTATCATTCTCTTCTTTTTCTGTTCTTGGCGATAAATTTAGCGTCAGCTGGGGGGTTGGTAGACCATATGTTTGTTCTCTGTATTTATCATTTAAGGCCACATCTGCCATATTCATGTTCCTCGCCTTCAAGTTCTTAGCGCAATTTTCTTGTACCGCAATCACACAAAATCATGATGCTTCGGATCCGAAGTTCCGATCCTCTTTATTCCCGCATGTTAGACATCACGAACAATTTTGGTATTGAAACAGCTATGGTTGCAGAATCCCAGTCGAGTCCAAGGTGGAGAACATCGACGCGACAACCGTTCGGTTAAGATGGAAGACTTGTGCGTAATTTGTCGTCAGTATCATCCCATCATAGAGAACCGAAAGTCATGCCACGTAACCGGGTCTAGTACAGATTTGTCGCCTTGCAACCAGTCGTATCAAGGGAGAAGCGAACATTTTCACTTTGGACTGCTCGTATCTAGCTAGGCAGTTGTACCTACCTGTACGGCAACTATATAAAGTCAGAACGTTACGGCATCTATAAAGTCAGAATTGTCTTCCAAGATAAAGAATAGTGATGCGAAACCGCCGCTGGGGTACCAGTACCATGAAGCGCATTGCAAGAGCTCATGAAACGGGTTCTATATTGTCCTCATTATTCTGTCAAATGACGCATAATGACGCATTAGAACATCATCATCGACTAGATGGCACTCGTCTGCGAACTTTCTTCTTCGGCATCAAAACAGCCAACCCGAACTTTTTCTTTCCATGCCGGTAGATGAATGGGAGAACAAGAGGCAGCGAGACTACATGATAGACTGTTCTCGTCAAAGGAGACGCAACAGGAAAATGCAGGGTGCTGTCACGTCGCCAAGTAACTCTTGCAATGGGTTATTGGTACCAAAAAAATGCCCAAGCTTGCCTGGTTGCTTTGGTGCAATTGCCCTCCAGACGACTTTTGGCAGAAATCCACCATTCATTATAGCAACAAGCAGACAAAACAAGCAGATACTATTACTATTTCGTCTTCAGAAGTGGGAATACAGTATTTATGTGAGAGTATATAAATGTTCGCGATGTATGATACCATCGTTGGACTAGCAATCATAAGGTTCCAAGTAGGCTTGAAGTGCATCGTATGCGGCTGTAACCTGTGCATTTTCCTACAATCCCGTCCATCATGTCAAGTTTTGTTCTTACATCTTGATTAATCTTGATGTAACCTGGATCCGTCCATTGCAGTACATGGCGAATGCCGCACAACTGAGGTTATTTCATGTCACTAGCAGTCCGCTCTGGTTGTACTAGTGAGGAGTGCAGCACGACTCTGCGACAAGGGTTGTTCTTCATAGTTCGCTCCACTCTTTCATTCGTCTTGCAGAAAATGTTGTTTCATTCGATGCCATGCAGCGTAGACGACTCTCATTGATCGCCTTCTTTGGATAACGACATTTCTTCGGTACTAGCGGGTGACGTTGTGGCAAAGAAGATGGCAGCATATGTCACTCGATAGATTCTGGAAATACCCAAAGATACCGTCACTTCGGGAGCTGAGGAGGTACCAAAGTTGCTTCTATAGAAGCCTCTGGCGGGCAGTTTCCGAGCGAGAGACCAAGTGCGCATTTCAAACAAATTTTCTGATGACAATCAATTGTAGTTTAGAACGACAACGGTTTCAATTGAAACGGATGTGGCGAAACGAGAGGACGGTTGAGAACAAGGCCTTGTCGATAGTGTTTTTGGTATCTTTCTCCAAAATCTGTATCGTGCACGCACGCCCAGCAAACTAGCCGTTGAGAAAACAGACAAACTGTGGGACAAAGTTAATTATGGCGAATACCTGGCCTTCGTCCACGCTTAAGGGATATTAGCGACGCACACGCCGGCGTCGGCATTCTAAATTGGATGGGCACTCAACTCGCTTCTTTTCAAGACAACACGTGCCTACCTAAGACTACCCTATCAGCTTTGCTGTTGAAAGAGAAGAACCTTCTTGCACCTTTTCATCATCAACGTATCAAAGAGGTGTATACTACAAATCTATCTGTATATCAATCAGAAGCAGCAACGAGTGCTTAAGGAAATATTCTCAATTGTAACGGGTTTCATTTACTTTGATTGCAACAACGACTGTTGCTTCAGAAATACTAGAAAAGCATCACCATGGCTACCAATAGCAGCGCTCCAATGCAGGACACAACAGCGCTCACGGCGCCAATCGATTTTGGAAGACAACGAACAGATTGTACCATCGAGAACATGGATGCGCTGAAGGAAGATTTGGCCAAGAACGATGATAACTATGCCAACCTGTCCAAAGAGGAACGCCTGATGAAACAAGAAGAATTGTCATTTTACTCCAGTTCCACAAATGACCAAGGGGATGACAATATATGGGGTTTGCTGAGTGGTGTTGGTGGTAATATCTATGAATGGTACGTCTTGTCTGGTGTGTGTATCTAGCTATGATGGCGGCGGCCGCGGGATTGAAAAAGGATGAAGATTTCAATTTAGATAGTAGATTCTGAAGGGAGACGATGATTTTCTCTTTCTCTTGAACGAAAACTTGGAACAAAACAACGGACTTTTTTGCCTTGCGCCATACCTTGCTTTGCTTGAATCTTGCAGCTTCAAAGCATTTTATTTGACTCACACATTCATCTCCTGTCATCTGTCATTTCACAGGTATGATTTTGCCGTCTACGGACTCTTGTCGGTGGAAATCGGAGCGGCATTCTTTCCACAAAGTTCTGAAAAACTGCAACTGATAAATTCATTCGGTGTCTACCTGGCGGCCTTTCTTATGAGACCAATCGGCGCCGTTCTATTTGGGGAAATTGGTGATCGATTGGTAGGACGGAAGAATGCCCTCATCTTTTCCATCCTATTAATCACAATACCCTCGGTTCTGATGGGAATGTTGCCTGGTTATGCATCATGGGGTGTGTTCTCGCCAATAATACTGGTTGTGCTACGAATGTTCCAGGGTCTATCGGTTGGTGGCCAACTAGCTGGAAGCTATGTCATCAGTATTGAGCAAAGTTCTGCGAGATCCCGAGGATTCCGTGGAAGCATTTGTGATGCAAGTTCCGTCGGTGGGTTTCTTCTGGCATCTGCTGTTACCTCGTTGGTCCGACGTTTTCTTACCAAAGAGGAGGTTGATGATTGGGGATGGAGACTGCCGTTTTTGTTCTCGCTACTTCTGGCACCAATCTTATACAACATTGTCAGTAACGCCGAAGAATCTAAAAACTGGCAAGAAGAACAAGAGGACCAGCAGATTCAGGATTTTGTGGATGACGAGCAAGGGAAGAGCCCAGCAGTCGTCGATCTCCTGTCATCACCATTCCGCCGTCGTCAGCTAGCAGGCATGATTGGCACATTGTCGACATGCACAGGCGCTTTCTACGTTCTATTCCTGTGGACACCAGTTTACCTATCCGAATTGAGAGGGATCATGTCACAGGCTGACGCAGATGCCATGAATTTCATTGCAGTTGCATTCTACATTGTCTGTTTGGTTTACATGGGCCGTCAATCCGATGGCTTTACACACCGAAAGGACTTGATCCGAATTGGATTACCCGGTTTGATTGTCGCTGCTCCAACCATGTTTGGGATGTTTGAAAGTGACACATGGATCGGAGCCCTTGTTGCGCAACTCCAGCTTGCAGCATGTTTGGCAATCGTTCAAGGAGGTATGGCCGCTTGGGAAGTCGAACTCTGGATGAATGACCCCACACTTTCCTTTACTGGAGTTGCGGTTGGGCACAACCTTTCGTCCACCATCTTTGGTGGTACCATGCCTCTGATGGCCACATATCTCTATTACGAATCAGAAGCGATGCTGAAAGATGTTGATGTCAATGACATTTTCTACAAATCACTCTTTCCACGCTTGCTCCCTGGACTTTACATTTCCATTTTGGCATCCATGTCCTTATTTTGTGTCAGCTTTGTGGTCAAGCATCCGCACGACCTGCGGATTTCAAGTCCCCAACTGCGGGCTGCTGTGGAGAAGGAAAATCGCAAGAATATTGCCGCCAAGAAACGAAGACGAAAAGAAATGGAGCGAAGGTTAAAGCAAGAAGAACCGTATGCCCCACCAACAATCGTCTAAAACAAAAAGCAGACTCATCCATTCGAGAATCTAGATTCTTTCTTGTCACATTAGGAACACTACATAATCAATCTCATTTTCAATGCTACTGCTTGCTATGACAACTGTGGCGACCACTCGATCATACTGTAGACTATTGTTGAATTGGATTAGACATTGCGATAGCAACACTTTTGTGTTTTGAATCATGATCGTCTGAGCAATATTTTGAAAACTATGGAGATTAAAATGGATGGATAGTTGCCAACTATGATTATTTGTATTGTTAGTTCTAGTTTAATGCATTCCCCGACCATATAGATCCCGCCCCTGCTGCTGCTGCTGCTGCTGCTTGTGTTGGTTCGACCATTTCCGTCGTAGCCGCCGTCGGCGTGGCCAAATCTTCCGCAATGGACGACAAGCCAGTCCCAGCCGGTGGTTGGGATACCGAAATCTTGTGCAAATAATCTTCCAACTCGGAAGTTTCTTCCTTTTTCAAACAGTCCAGCTTGTGTCCCTTCTTCCAATGTTCTGTGCTGCAGGTCTTACTACAATAGTGAACTCCACGACATTGTCGGCATTGAGAGAGTGGTACATTTTGTGCATTGCAATTGGCACACTTGACCGATATTTGCCCTTCCATATTCCTCAAAGTCTTGAGCGCATTTTCCTTGTTGGTTTCCGTTTGGATGCTACTACTTTCGTCGTCATTGGCAGCAGCGGTTTTGCGCAACAAAAACAACACCCTTGGTATCGGATTGTACCCAACCTGATTGTAACTACCATCAAAGGTTTGACTTGCCAATATCATCAAGACTTGGGCCAATACTAGCTGACAGGACCCATCTCCTTTGGTAGCACCCTGTTGGGCCCAATACTTGGCCAGAAACATGTTTTTTTTTACGGGAGCCTCTTGCCCCAGGGAATTGCAATACATAGTGGCCAACATGCCTTGGGCTGTCACACTCCCTCCAACTGCCGCTAATGAGATCCATCTCAAACCCTCTTGCTGTATTTGTATTTTGCGGCGTTGCTTCTGAGCTTGCATCGCTCGGGACTCTTGCGTGCTGGGCGCCACATCGTTAATGTCTTCTTCCAAACAAAACAACCCCAAATTGTATTGGGCTTCCGGATACCCCTGTTTGGCACTTTTGAGGAACAAGGCTCGGGCATTTTCATTCGATTGCGGAATATTAGGATTGCTTCCCGTGTAATGCGCTTGGCCCAAATGACAAATGGCGACTGGGTGACTTGCGTCAACCGCCTTCCACAAATACTCGGCCGCCTTGTCGTGTCGTCCATTTTCTTCTAGCAACAAAGCCATGCGCAAATGGGCCCAGGGTTCTTCAATATCTTGAATCTTGTAGACTTCGTCCAATTTATTCAGGGGAAAGTATTCTTTTGATTGGCAGGAGGGACATTTCTTGTGTTCGGATGGTTTGCCGTCACGACAACCTTTGCAAATTCGTCGTTGGCAACAGGGCAACCAGGAACTTGGATCATCCAGATACTCGTGAAAACCCTCTTTGCAAATGGGACATTGCCAATCTTTTTTTCTAACAGCAGTATCAGGATAGGCCTTTTCAAAACTCGCCTTGAGGGAGTAGACCCGCACTTGCTCGGCCGTGATTTCGCCTTCTTCCGTGATTTGTTGGAGTTGTTTTCGTGTCAAATACCAGTCGTCCGAATACGGCGTCAACAATTTGCAACGGGCAATCAGCAAATCCCGGGCCGACTTTAACTTTTGGACCTTTTCCGAAGGATTCAGTGGAGCATTCATGGTTTTGGAGGAGTTGCCTTTTGAGTGGGAGCATTCACAATATATACAAGGAAGGAGGTTTGCGGTGGGAGAAAACCACGACCATCATCAGTCAGTCATTTTCAATTTGATGAATGTGTCCGTTTTTAATGTCCGTTTAGAGTAGAACATTTTTTACATGTGTTCGCCAAATTGACCGACTGACTGACTCAAGATTCAAGATCATCATCAACAGTACCGGTATCCAACATCTTGTATCCAACGTGTCTTGCCCTAGATTATCAACGCACTGTGAAAGATCAGCCAATGCAGTGAAAGGATGGACCAGTCCAATGATTTATGCTATATAGACGAACTGCTTCCAGAATGCAAGAATCACATCTTTCAGTTCCTCTCACTTCAGGATTGCCTCCGCTTCACATCGACTTCGAAAAGAAGTCTCATTTCTGCCTTGCCGCAACTCTGGCAACGGAGACAAGAACAATTCTATCAACGCTATTGTTATCAAATTGAATCCCCAAACTTACTACAGAGGTGGTCCAAGAAATGGGATCCAGCATCCGCTGCTGATACAACCACAAAAAGTGCCGAAGATGATACCATATTCTGTTCACCATTGGTCGACCAGAATCATTGGCATGTCATTCCTGCTGTCGGCGAGCGGATTACTCAATTGTATCAATGCGTTCCAGCGACTCATCCTTCCAATAATGAGTTGCGGGCCCTCAAAACGGATCTGGAACAAGATGGGAACAGCAGTAAAAAATCACAACGAACAACTATGAATAGTGCCGACGACCATGATCATTTCCAGGCAACAACAAGTCCCCTCCAAGAGCTTCGAAACTGCACTCGAGCGCACCAACTTCATGCATCCATATTGTCCATGTCGACCGTAAAATGCAACCCAAGACGTTGCGATCGTTATTCTACAACTGCCAGGACCAGGATTGGCAGCAAGAATGTCGCCAACAACAACAGTCTGAGTGCCACCTTGGAAACCTACATGGGCGACGTCTTGGTGTCGTGTTACCTCATGGGGCACAAAATATCCGGCATTCTAGAAGGAGGGCCATCACTTGACGATTGGAATCAGCATGTCCTCTCCCTGCTGCGACCTGTGGAAGCTCAAAAAGCACTATCGTGGTATCAATATTGGGTGTATTTGCACAGCACCTTATTGAGAACCTTTCCCTTTTCAGTGGAGCATGCTGCCATCTTATTGGGAAGTAGTAAGAGTGGAATATTGGGCCGAAGCATTCCACAAGGTTTGTCATATATCCATCCCCATTACTGCTACATGGGACAGGAACCAAAGCAAGTCGAAATGACGACCAAAATAGTGCGAACCTTGTTGCTGCGACTGGCCAACCACGAGGCGGATGCCGAACCACCTTCTACTCTTCTCCGAATGGCACACCAAACAACCATGAATCAATTTGGGCCATTGGGACCAGCCTTTCGAGGTCGTGATGAAATTCGGACCCGCATCATGAATCCTTTTTCCTTGTTGCATCGACTCCACCATCCATCCTATGCCCTGGCGTCTACCTGGTTCTTGGTGGAACAAAAGGAGCACATCGTACTGGACTCGAGAACCTTTCATGCATGGTTCCGTGGGACGGATACAGTGGTAGGCTGGATGTTGGAACTCAAGCAAGAGTGTTCCAAGAGTCGGCCAATGACAGTCATGCCACCAGTGGTCACAGTGGAACCGATTGCCGTCAGTGCATTCCTGACGGATAACGCTATACAATAACAATAACAATAACAATATTAATACCACTAGTAGTCTTGGAGGAGCGAGTAAAGTCCACTACAGAGCGCTATAGATGTATTGTACAACATGTTTTTACTACTTTTACTTTGAAAAACATGATTGAAAGACAGCAGTACAGTACACGTGCGTCACAACTGTTGACATCCCCAATGATGTCCAACCCACTTTTTTCGTAGAAATGGCGACTACTATACCCGCAATACTGTCGGTGCTCCTTTACTGCTACCATTGGTGGATACTTCCGCCGTCGCCGTCCTATTACCGCTGGCAGTACCAATATGATTATCAGAGACATCCCATTTGATCACTTGATCGTTAATGTTGCAAATCCTTGCCGACTTGACATCAATGCACAAAATGGCAATGTGTTCTCCCACAATGAATTGCGGATATTCCGGATTGTGTTTTAAATGTGCTTGCCGATATTCTTCTGCCTTTTGAGGCGCGTCCACGATCCGACACTCCCCATTCAGGGTAATGGAATACGCCCCACATTCATAATTCCCACCCGATCCAAAATCATGTATCAATAATGCCACTCCTTTCTGTTTTTGCAACATTCCAAACTTTTTGGTTTGTGTGTTGGTACTCATGATGACAACTTCCCCATCGTCAGGGTCATTCAAATAGGTAAATCGCATGAGACTCAAATGCGAGCTCGAGAGGTCTTGATCAATGGTGGAAAGGTAGGCCAGATTGCATTTGGACAATAAATCTCGGACTGTTTGAGGAAAGGGTGGCTTGATTTGATTGCCCTGTGCCTTGAGAATCGTGGCCAGTGGATGCGGTTTGTTGTGTCTGTTCCAGAAATAATTGGTGATTCGGTAATAGAGGAGAGGTGCCGCCACGAAAGCGACCGAGGTTGCCACTGTGATGATTTGATCCGTGTCGTCCAACAAATTGTTCATGTTTGCTTGCAATATTTTATGATTGTTCTCAAGAGGTATTGATTGTCACTGTCACACTATAAAAGGTTCAGTTTTAGAAGAGTGGTGGTGGGTGCGTGGGTGCGTGGGTCCGGTATTCAGTATGGGATCTGTTATTCCTCTGTTGTTTTAGTTTTGCTTGAGCAATTTCCATTCTTTTTTTGGGTGTCAGATTTGGGTTGATGACGTCAGAATGATGTAGGACGGAAGGACAGCATGTCGAACAGCATTGGATCTTTTGCATGATGGTATGGTAGGGAGGTATTCTGCGCTGCGTGGGATTGTAGAATATGCTAATATGATCCACTTTTAAAAAGTTGCAAATGATACCTGACTCAATCTGCCTTTTGCAGTACGGTACCGGTATGTATCATCTTGGTCTTCCATCAACCTAAATCCATTTCAATATGGTAGTCTATTCTCTCTCCCGCCGAGGAATTACTGCTGCCGTTACTTAGACGTTGTTACAGATGTAGCTTTGTACAGCGTGGTGGGTAAGGTAGGCTTGCCACGTCGTCTCGTAAGCGCATGTCGCAAGGGCGATGAGAGTTGGCGTACCGGTACACGTACTGTGACTCGTAGTGCGAGATGAATGAAAAAAAAAAGAGTCACCCATCAACCAAGCGGACCTTCACCGTTGTCGTAACTACGGTACCTCTTCCCCATTCATTGTTAGTGAAAGAACTCCCAAAAGGCAATCAACAGTAGGCTCTACAAGTGGAGAATCCAAGTTTCAGTCCTAAGAAGCAAGAATAGACTTTGTTTGATTGATTTCAAAGACTTTTACGATTGCATTGCACTCTGGATTGAAATCGGGCTACTTTTCTGGCCTTTTCAGTGGTCATTTGTCATTTTCCTCGTCAAGGCATTGGGCTGACTTTGGATACTGCACCAGCTTCTTATTCATTTGTTGAGCGAACGATCCCTTATCGAACCCCCACTACCGATTCCAAAAAGACATGGCTTCCAACCCAAACAATCCAATCATGAAAAAGCCCAACGGGTCGGAAACAGCGGGCGCATTGCCACCACCATTGGCCATTGCTCCAGCTCCTTCTGCGACAGCACCAGCACCAATTGCAGTTTCGTCCACAGCAAGCTTCGCGCCAAACGCTGTAGGATCCTTGCATGCTAGCATTGCTTCTGCAAACGAACCAGGTTCCGGTGGCGGCATGATTCACTCACAGCAACAACTTCCAGCCGATACTCTAGACATGTCCGCATTGAAGGATTCCATGGACGCAGCTGTTCAGTCCATTCTTCTAGCAGATGACGGAAAGGGCTCTAACGCGAATGGAAATGATGCAGATACTGCCAAGCATGATCAATTGCGGGCCATGTACTTGGCTGGATTCAAGGCTGCTCAAGCGCGCCAGGTGGGAATACAAGATCAACACCAACAAGCAACGCATCATCAAATAAACGCAGCTCAACATCATCAAAACATATTGCGAGATAACTTTGAACAATCTAGAGCTCAAGCAGAACCATTGCCTCCACCACAAGCCTTGTTATTGCCGGTCTCGGGTGGAATGGCTGCGGGTGTCATTAAAGTACAGCCTGGAACTGCCATGAGTCCAGCTGGAAGTGCTCTTGGTACTTCTCCTGCTACTACCAATTCCAATTCTTCGTCTCGATCATCCCAACGAATGACGGGTCGAACTGCTGCTGCCGCCGCTGCTGCTGCTGCTAGCACTCAGGCAGTGAGTCCAGCCCTGTCGGCCGTTTCGACTCCAGGATCTCCTTCTGCCACTGGTCATTCCAATCCATTTCCACGCAAACTCATGGAAATGCTCAAAAAGGAAGATCAAAATATTGTTGCCTTTTTGCCAAAGGGTGATGCCTTCATGGTCCGAGATCCCGATGCCTTTGTCGGGAGCGTCCTGCCGCGATATTTTCGTCACACTAAATTGACCTCCTTTCAACGTCAATTGAATTTGTATGGCTTTCGACGAGTCACCAAGGGACCAGATGCCGGTGCCTATAGACATGACAATTTCCATCGGGACTTTCCCGATCGGTGTTTGCAAATGAAGCGGACCAAGCAAAAGGGAACGGGCAGCAGTCCCCGACTTGGGCCATCTCCACGCATGAATGGACGAGCCTCGGGGGCATCCTCTCCGTCGTCTCCACTGGTCAGTCCCGGTGATAGCCCTGCGAGTGCCTATGGTCTGGACTCCCCCATGAGTCAAGGTGGTCCCATGTTGTTGTCCTCTTCCATCATGTCTAGGTGAGTCTTGCCGTCATGATTGATGTGTTACATCATTGTTGGGTGCTCATCATTATGACTCTTTTCGTTTCTTTCACAGTTCCTCTGCAGTTCAACTTCCAGGAGCAGCAATGGGAGAACAGCGACAAGCTCACTTTCGATCCATTTCTCCTTCTCATCCACAAAGTCAATCGACGGCCCCCCAAACTGGGCTGGGAATTCTCATGGGAGGAGGCAGCAGTGGTGGCGGTGGTGGAGGCCCTGCTCCACTGTTGGCACCCCAAAAGTTTGGTGGACCATCCACCTCCTCTGGTCATTTGACCCCCGATCAGCAAAATAGAATTCAAGAGGATCTTGCCGAACGAGAACGACAGGCAGCCGCACTCGGAGCTGCCATGGCACCTTCCGGGGTGGGCCAAGTCTTGCAAGCTCCACCTCCACTAGTGTCCATGGTGCCACCGTCTGGACATCATCATTCGGCCAAGGCTACCTCTACCGGTAGTAACAATGACATTGCCATGGAAAATATCAATTGGAATACCATTCCCGAATTGGGCAACCCTGATGATATGGATATGGATTTTGCCGCCATGTTTGATGCCGAACAAGAACAATCCTTTTTGCATCATAGTCAGCAGCAGCATCATCAGCATCATCAGCATCAGCACCATCAGCACCATCATCATCAGCCAAATATGGCGCATCCAGGAGAAGCTAAACCTTCCTCTTCCAAGAGTAGTAGTGGGATACCCAATCCATTGAATTCTACTGGTTAAAACTATCATGTGTGTGGTTGGGTGGGTGGTTCTGGTTGGTTGGTGACGAATGAATGAACCAATCTCAAATCGAGGAATCAACCATTCGTGTTTTTCATGTAATTTGGTGGAAGTGTCAGTAAGTCAGTCTGGGAAAATATGGGATTAGATGTAGTACACAATGTCGATAATGAAGTTTTGATTACACAATTTACTGTAATGATCCAACGTTACTATACGGTACCGGTAGTATGCGTAGGAGTACGATCTTACAGAAGTAATGTCGAATCTTTTCGGGGAACGGATCAAATGAACATTGGAGAAATGGAGATTCGGGAATACCAAAACCAGTTACTTGACTCATAACCTATCAAAATAAGACTGGTGCAGATGAAGGCTTCATTCGAAGAACCTGCTGTTGTAGTGTGAGAGTCAGTCAATAGACCAATACAAAAAACAAACAAAAAAGAAAACTAAATCAAGATGAGCGAAGAAGAAGTACCTGCCGAAGCCCCCGCTGTTGTCGAGGAAGTCGAGATGAGTGTCTTGGACGCTCTCAAGGAGGTATGTACTTTTTTCGCTCGGAACAAGAACGGAATGAAACCTTGCGTTTTATATGAATTGTTCTGACTTGTTTGCTTTGTTTCCAACTTGATTATTCAGGTCCTTGAAAAGGCCATGATCCACGGAGGACTCAAGAAGGGACTTCACGAATGCGCCAAGGCTTTGGATCGCCGTACCGCCCGTTTGTGCTGTCTTGCCAAGGACTGCGAGAACGCCGAATACAAGAAGCTCATCAAGGGACTTTGCGCCGAAGGTGAGGTTCACGTCGTCATGGTTGAGGCCGGAAAGGACCTTGGTGCCTGGTGCGGACTTGCCAAGCTTGATGATGATGGTTCTGTGAAGAAGGCCGTCCGAACTTCTTGCGCTGTCATTACCGACTTTGGGGAAGAAACTCGTGCTCTAAGCATCCTTTTGGATTACCTCCAAAAGCAAGCAGACGCCGCTGAGATTTAAATATAGAAAATATTGAATCGAGGAAGCCCCGTCTGTGCTGTCGAAAATTGTATGTGTGATCAAGTGTGGTCGTTGGAGAGATGATGGAACAAGGTTTCGGAGATGAACTTTCTGAATGACCTTGTTGTCGCGTCGGTTCCACACTCCAGTCGTCGCGTGTTGTTATTACGTTGGCATCTTCACCTGTTGTTTACATGTTTATGGCCAAATGTTAGCATCTTCAACTTTAGACCAACTCCAACTCCTTCACCTCCATCTCATTGTTTATATATGCGCAAAATAGACCATTGATTGCATCCTTGTCGGAAAGTTGCTCGTAAGGCAACACAAAACACGAACACTACAATCATCCTGGAATATCGAACATTTTTGAGGTAAAGTTACAGGTCTGCTTGTCGCTTTTTTGGACCAAAACCTACACTGGTATCTATGCATTCACTCCGCCTGTAGCGGTTCTATAGCCATCACGTCATGTAGAAATTAGGGGTTAACTCAAAACGAAGGAATATTGCTTTCAATGGACCTGCCATTTCTCAACGTATCGTCATGTGCTTGAACTATTTTAATACATGTACGATTAGCACTCGATGTGTAGACCAGTTGCATATTTCCTCTTCTCTGAATCTCCGTTGGTCCTAAACTGGTCTCTCTCACTCACTCACTGACACGATTCAGATTGGGTTCATTCCCACAAAAAACGTACTTGCCTAGTCTCACGCGAAGAGAACCAATCAACGGGCATAAAAAAAATCGCCGTTCTGGTTGAACGGGTATCTTGCGTATCTTGAACAGCTACCGTATTCTACTGCAGGTTGAGCTTGGATCCCTTTCTTGAAGAATCGACCAACTGCTTTTGGGGTGACGCATGTACCTGTACCGGTATCGTACAAGATCCAACAAGATCTTCAGAACTGTCGCACAATTTCTTTTAGGAACAAGTCAAACATGAAGACCGCCATCCTTGCCTCCCTTATCGCCGCCGCCAGTGCCTTCGCACCTGCTCAACAAGCAGCCAAGACCAGCTCTTTGAATGCTTTCGAGAGCGAGCTCGGTGTTCAGCCACCACTTGGATTCTTCGATCCTTTCGGTATGCTCTCCGGAGATGCCACCGAAGAGCGATTCGAACGTCTTCGTTACGTCGAATTGAAGCACGGACGCATCTGTATGTTGGCCTTCTTGGGTCAAATCACCACCCGTGCCGGAATCCACCTTCCAGGATCCATCAACTACGCCGGAGACTCCTTCGATTCTTTCCCCAACGGAGTTGCCGCCATCTTTGGCCCCAACCACATTCCTACCGCAGGAATCGTGCAGATGATCGCCACTGTCGGTATCTTGGAGTGCGCCTTCATGCGTGAGGTCCCAGGATATGCTGAATTCCCAGGTGACTTCCGTAACGGATACATTGACTTTGGATGGGATGACTTTGATGAAGAGACCAAGCTTCAAAAGCGTGCCATTGAATTGAACAACGGCCGTGCCGCTCAATTCGGAATCCTTGGACTTATGGTTCACGAACTCATCATCCCATTGGGATATGATGCCGACCTTCCAATCATCGGACACCTCAAGTAAGCACCATACTTGAGTTCTGAAGAGAATTCATTACCTCAGTCTCTAGATTAACTATTCTATATAGATTACTATTGAGATTGTACAACAGACACTTCTTGTCTATTCTTTTATGATTGCCCGTTAGTTCGTTTTGCTTGGACTTGTCTCTGCAGAGTGCACGCATTGAAGTTGAAGTTTAGGTGCAACAACGCACGGTGGATGTACTGTTGCTCCACGTGTAGATTGGTTTGAATCAATCTGCAATGTAAGCGCAAGTCAGTCATCAAGCATCCATCGAAAATGCCATTGCTTTTGAAAGAATGTGCTGTCGTGGTGGACAAGCAAAACCAAGAGCTTTCATATGCAGAACAATGGATTCGTGCTGTTTTGACCCCCATGCATCACGCATGGCATAGCAAGTATCTACTAGCTTTCTCGATTGGCAAGCGTTTCCATATTTCCCCCCAGAAGTAGCTATTTGAAATGCTGAAGTACTTCGGGCGCGGACCGCAAGAGATTGTAGGATAGTTGCAACTCGAAAAACGAAACATCTTCTGGTTCGTTATTCATGGACGCACCATCGTTGATACATGCCAATTGCTGAACGATTGGTTGCCTTCTGGATCCACCACCAAACTTTGCCGTTCCGTTATTAGAACCAAATGCAGCAATAAGCTGAAACGGAAATAGGTGATGCTTTCCGTCCATTATGGTGGCCGCCTCGGGAAATAATCTCCATAAGCCATCTATGCAAAGTTTGCTTAGAGGGTATTCAATGGCAAGGTGCAGCGGTAGTTGGTTTTGTTTGGTTGGAGTACCCAATATAGTTGCCGCATAGTAGGTTGGAGGGCACAAATGACACAAGAGTTCCCACGGTTTGCCGAACCGAATGGCAACGTGCAGCGGAATGTCGCCGTTATCGTTCCTTTGGACGAGAATATTCGGACATTCTGCAATCAAATGTTGCACCAGATCTCGCTTTGATGGCCGTTCATCATCGGCAAGGCACTGGTTCAAGAATGCCAGCGTTTCCGTGGCACGGCAGATGTAATGGAGTAAGGAATCACCTTGATCATCAACTCTGGTCAAATCATGTGTTCGGTATACCAAGTGCTGCATGAGATCAATTGTCTTTCGTGATCCCAACAAGTGGGCGCATGTCACCATAGCCCGCAAGAGTTCCATTGCTCGGATATTGCTTGATTGGTCATGTGTGCTTTCGTCATCATCCGTCTCTTGTGTTGACTTATTTGACGAACCGGACGATAATAAATTCACCGAATTAGAAAAGAATCCCACATTGTTGTCGTCATTATTACGATCTACACTCCCTATTGGCTGGTCCGCCACTGGTTTTCGTCTTCCCTGCTGAATATCTACCGCTTGCTGCGTTTCCAATAACATAAACCCCACAATCTCTTCCACACGAATGTCCCGATTATTCCCATCGCTTGATACCCGGAGTGGAAGAGAGGATATGCAATCGCTTGATGCATAGTACAGAGCCACTTTTTTCTTGCTGGCGCTAGGTATCAACAATGATTGTTTGGTAACATCATTTGCAACCAAGAGCCGCAAGAGCTCTTCCCTGTTGGAAGCTTGACTGTCTTGAGACTGACAACGAGCCAGCTTGAGAATCGGCGGTTCTCGCGCCTGTTTTTTCGTTGGATACAATAATTCATTCCTTTCGTCATGCTTCAGAATAAGTTCAACGATGCCAATCGGCGCATGCCGATCGATTGCAATGGAAAGAGGATTGGTATTTCCATAGAACTGAAGTGTGCGGTTCTTCGAAGAAATTGGACATGCCTTTAGAATGACCTCAAACAAATCAATTTGCGGCACCGATGATGATCTTTTGATGCCTTCTAGTAGAACGCAGAGCAAAGGAGGTGAAGAAGACTGACGGTTCTTTCCAGTCTGTTCCTTAGCCACGGCAGTTTGAAGGTCCAACTCGAGGGGTTCGAAAACAGTTCGAAATTTATTCCATGACTTGTAACGGATGCAATTCACAAGCTCGTTGCGGATTGCTTTGATGTTGTACTTATTTGGTTTGGGCATGCAATAATTCGTTGGTTGGTTGGTGGAGATTGGTTTGATTCCAAACTTACTTGTTCACTTCAAGTTGGAAGTGCCATGTGCCATGCATCGCAGTGAAGTTTATTATCTTCATTATACTCATGAATGAATTCAGCTGATTGAAGAATCGACTGAGTCGACTACACGTTTACTCCTTTATCCAAAATTCTACTGTACAATCCAGATTGAATGCGAGAAGATCCTGTACACTGTATTCTATTTGTATTAGTGGGAAATTTATGGTTAGAAGGAGTCTTGGTATCACGAAATTACCAGGCCCAGTAGGAGTCAGTCTCTTGAACCGAAGCTGGTCGTACTTGGACAACTCTGCTTCTCCTTCTTTGTTCGTCACTGGTGGAATTCCAGTTCCAGTAGTCAACACTGTCTGTTCGAGCGTGAGACCAGCCCCAGTATTGATCATTAGCAGCCGAAAGGGACGACGCTTTGACAGCTGGTTGGCTTAGGAGGATGTTGGAAACAATATGATCAGCCGAGAGGTACTCTTCGTCAACAAGCTTGTTGATTTCAGCGTCGTTCTCAGACGACCATTCCCAGTAGCTGCTGCTGTCTTGTTGAGATGACTCGATCGTCATTGGCGTTTGTTGGGCAACCTCCAATGTAAGTGGTGGGAATGTTGCCTTGATTGGTTGGACAAGAAGATCCAAGTCCAAAGTGTGGAGGGAAGAAGTGCGGTGATTAAGGTTGGGTGCCATGGTGCCGTTTGTGGTTTTGAGAGCTTTTTGGTTTTGGAGTTCTGCTTTTACTTTTGTGTGTTTGTGAGTTGTGAGGTTGTTGGCTTGGAATAGTCTTGGGGACTTTTTCCACGTCGTCCTTTTAGATTTTTCGAAATCCCCAATGGAACCGTTCCGTACAATCAACGTCGACTGCACCGACCAATGGAATCTTACATACCAAAATACTTGGCTCACACTTTCTCCACAATCCCCACAGAACTGACACACACTTGACACTTCATGTCACGGATGAAAATGCCCCGCTGAATCAATGCATTGCACAGAGTGATTCGCAACTGCTTGGCTGGCTTCTTGTCATAAACTACAATACAATTCATCCGCTGGCGTGCTAATGACTGCGCTACCAGCTCGTAATCATCAAAATAAAAACATCTTGATGAGCTAAGTGTAACGCTGAATCAAATATAATGCAAAGTATATATAACTAGTGTATCCAGCGTTTTTGAAAATATTGTACAGCAGTTTATTAGCATTATAAGTTGAGATAGACTCGGAATCCAGCCAGATTACCAAGCCCAGTATGAGTCGCTTTCTATTGACTTTTGATTTTGTTCGTCATTGTTGGCTGGCCAGTTCCAGTAGTCAACGCTTTCCGTTTTGGCATGAGACCAGTCCCAGTATTGATCATTTGCAGCCAAAGTGGAAGACGCAGGAGCTGCTGGTTGTCTTAGAGTGTTGGCAACGATGTTATCAGCCGAGAGGCTTTCTTCCTCAACAAGCTTGCTGATTTCAGCGTCGTTCTCAGCGGACCATTCCCAGTAGCTGCTGCTGCTGTCTTGTTGCGATGCCTGGACAATGACCTTATGTGATTGTTCTGCGACCTCCGATGTGAGTGTAGGGAATCCTGCCTTGACTGGTTGGATAAGATCCAAGTCAACAGTTTGGAGAAGAAGTTGGGTGCGTTTGAGGTTGGGAGCCATGTTTAATAGTTGGTGCTGTAAAGTTTGGGTTTGATTTGATTTGAACCGAGTTAAAATTGTGAGACTTTTGATGTGAAAAACACAACGTGGTTTCAAAACTCCCAAGGAACAAAGGAACATTGCATTGCATTTGCAGGTGTGCAAATGCAGATTTTCTAGAGAGGCATTCGGTGTTCTGCAGATGATGACGATTTGTTATGTGGTTGTGATGGATTTAGTCTTTGTTTCTGACGTTTTGGTGGCAGAGTCAGTCATCTATTGTACGCGGAATGTTTCTCGCGTGTGTTGGCAAGCAAGTTTTGTGGCACGAAAGATTGACCAATAAAATCCTTCGAAAAAAATGACGCAGTGACAGACCGCGAGTGCCACAGATTGATTACTCTGCACCTTCGTTGGCTTTTCACCAAATTCAACAAGTCGTTCGTTCCTCTTCCTTCAGTGACTCCGCATACTGCCAAATTAACACACAGCTAGAGCCAAGTCTAACAATAGGGATGAAAGTACCGCCCGTATCTAACATGTATTTACAGTAGGTCGAAATAATATGGTATTCAATGCCTGAAATATTTTCCAGTCTAATGATACACAGTGCTACATTAAATTGAGAGCTGCGGTTGCATTGGCAGATGATCACCATGCCCAGTAGGAGTCGCTGTCTATAGCCGCTCCTATTGAGCCTTGTTGTTCGTCATCGTTGGATGGCCAGTTCCAGTAGTCAACGCTTTCCGTTTTGGCGTGAGACCAGTCCCAGTATTGATCATTTGCAGCCAAAGTGGAAGACGCAGGAGCTGCTGCTTGCCTTAGAATGTTGGCAACGATGTGATCAGCCGAGAGGCTTTGCTCATCAATAAGCTTGTTGATTTCAGCGTCGTTCTCTGCGGACCATTCCCAGTAGCTGCTGCTGTCTTGTTGCGGTGTCTGGACAGTGACATTTTCAGATTGGTGTGCAACTTCCGATGTGAGTGTAGGGAATCCTGCCTTGACTGGTTGGATAAGATCCAAGTCAACAGTTTGGAGAACATTTTGAGTGCGCTTGAGGTTGGGGGCCATGTTTGTACGTGCGTGTTGTAAGTTTTTGAGCTTTGAAGTTGAGTCTAAAATTGTGAGACCATTACTGTGGTTGTGAAAAACACAACGTGGTTTCAAAACTCCCAAGCAACAAAGGAACATTGTGATCGCGTTTGCATTTGCATTTGCATCGCATATATGTGCAACTGCAGATTGACTAGCTGGACTTAATTAAAAAGCGCACTTTTGAATGTCGTGAGATGTGAGAGCTATTCTAGATTCATTCTTCCTCCGTTGCAATATGACTTCGTTGTGACAGCACACCAGCTGTCTTTGCAATTGCAGACCATGACAAAGCGACTACATACTCGCACATCGACTTGATTTAGGACTAAGAAGCATCAGACAAGCACACCTGAAAATAAAAGTCCGAGTAGGATGTCGTGTAGGTTAGCTTTGCCATGATAAGACAGTTCCATGTCTTGTCCTAGAAAACAGCATGTATCAGCAAGTATCAGTTCAGCCAGAGGTCAATTTTATCCCATTCATTACGCTCCTAAAATCATGTGTAACCAAGTGTTTGGAAATATTGTACAGCAGTTTATTAGCATTATAAGTTGAGGTAGCATTGGAATCCAGCCAGATTACCAAGCCCAGTATGAGTCGCTTTCTATTGACTCTTGACTTTGTTCAACATTGTCGGCTGGCCAGTTCCAGTAGTCAACGCTTTCCGTTTTGGCATGAGACCAGTCCCAGTATTGATCATTAGCAGCCAAAGTGGAAGACGCAGGAGCTGCTGCTTGCCTTAGAATGTTGGCAACGATGTTATCAGCCGAGAGGCTTTCTTCCTCAACAAGCTTGTTGATTTCAGCGTCGTTCTCAGCCGACCATTCCCAGTAGCTGCTGCTGTCTTGTTGCGGTGTCTGGACAGTGACCTTTTGAGATTGGTGCGCAACCTCCGATGTGAGTGTAGGGAATCCTGCCTTGACTGGTTGGATAAGATCCAAGTCAACAGTTTGGAGAAGAAGTTGGGTGCGCTTGAGGTTGGGTGCCATGTTTGCAAGTTGGTGTTGTAACGAGTGACTTTGATTTGAGTTCAATCTAAAATTGTGAGAGTTACATTCGGATGACGTGAATGTGCATTTTGATGTCTTGAAGTCAATTTCTCCGAAAGGAAGAGTGATGTCAAAGTGCGTAAATTTCATTTGCAATTGCAAAACGAAATTTGACTTCATCGACTATGATACATGTCGGCACGAAAAACGAAAGAAATCTTCATCGAAAAGAAAGGATCATGTGCTAGTAATGATGACTCATTGGTGACAGCACAAAAGACTACTCAGCAATCATGATTCAGCATAATTGTCTATAAAAAACGAGTGAATCAGAATGATGACAGCTCGTCTCGGGTACTGACGATGCGATACTCAAGAAGAATCACGATTTTGGTGGAATTGAATTGCTACTCGCTCGCATGCTTGCGAAGTCGTCCGACTCCGTGTTCCGTCGTCCCGAATCCTAAGGAATTCCAAGTCTCATCACAGATGAATCTACCTACAGTGGTACTGTGGCGTGCTCCACAGAAGAACCGGGCAATTGCTATCTATTCGAATTGTAGGGAATTAGATCACATCATCCATCATCGAGACCAAGAATGCGAATCATCAATCTCCGTCAGGGGGAGAATCGAGATACTTGATGATACAATTGTAACTTGTTGCTCAAACATTGAGAGTAAATATTTATTCTAGCAGTAGTATTAAAAGTGTGCAGAGAGTGGCTGCCTATAGTCAAATTTCACAATTACCAGTCCCAGTAGGAGTCACTGGCTCCTGCAGCTGCAACAGTTGTTGTTTGCGTTGCATCAAATTGACGAACTAGCTCTCGTTGTTCGTTCTTGGTAGAGGGCCAGTCCCAGTAGCTAGCAGCTGGTTGTGCCGGAGACCAGTCCCAGTATTGATCGTTGTCGGCAGAAGTCGTGTTTACGACTCCTGCTGAAGGGGCTTCGCGAATAATGTTTTCAATAATGTGATCGGCACAGACAAGCTCTGCGGCTTGTTCCTCAGCCATAGCTTGTTGGACCTTCACATCATTGTCGCCATTCCATTCCCAGTAGTCGCTGCTATCTTGCTTTGGAGACGTTTGGATGGTTGTGTCACCACAACCAGCCTTCCCTTGTGATTGGGGTACTTGGGCTTCCGATGTTAGTGGGGGGAATGTTTTCAAGTCTTGAAGATCCAAGCCAGCGGCAGTTTGAAGGACAAGGGGGCGGTGCTTTAGGTTAGGTGCCATTTCGAAGTCTTGGTATGCTTTAGCAAATGAGTTGAAAAAGTGCTTGTTCAATGTATATTATGATCTTTTCACTGAAGGAATACCTACAGTATCTACACATGCGAAGTCTACATTTTTCGATAGGATGTCATGATTTTGTAGTTGCAGTTCAGCTCGTGCGCAAATGCAAACCCGGCCTGCGCGCCATGGCTGTCAACTATGACACAGTCTTTCGGCGAATCTTTTCCGTTGACGAACGAATCTTGACATCTGGGGTCGCAACCAGTTCTTATTGGTGAGTTGGGCCACGTATTCTTCAGTTGACATCAGGGTGTCACGTGAACTCCCAAGGAAATCGAGGAGTTTTTGCTTCTTTGCAGCGCGAGCGAATTTTAGTGATGCTTCCTTCAAATCCCCGTTCTTTTACACTCCCCTTGTTGGTTCTGCGCTTATTCCAACACTGCTGGGGGATTTTGTGAAGGATCATCTAAATGATCACGACCGTTTATACTACTGGTGAAGTATCTCACAGAAGATGCGTAATAAAAGGATTGTTACCACGACTTTAACGCGGTATTTAATGTTGTATTGTTAGTCGTGTGTGCTGTTACACGGCAACTGGCCCCATGTGCCGCCATTTCAAATTATCCCCTTGGAGCATGCCACTGTTTCATGCTAGAAACTAATTGGGAAGGCTCTCGCATTTTATACATATATTTTCACTTCACAATTCGATTCTCTTTTCTTAACCAGCAGTAAACAAAACCACGAAGGAACGGCGGGGCAAAAACTTACTCCTGAGAATTTTAAGGAAAGGCAAACAAAATGAAGGTGAGAGACAGTCAATCTCCCATGCCCGTAGCTAGTGTAGGTCTAAGTTGAAAGTACAGTACCAGGTACTTTATCTGGTAACGCTCCTCGAGGAAGGGTGGTACCGGTACCATGGTACCAGTAATAACTGGTATCCCTCAGCAGGCGTTACACACGATTGATTACCTGGGGATGTTCCTCATCTACTTTGGGGAATATATTAGAGGAGAGGCAAAATTAGGGGGCTGGAACGATTTCAGGTTCAACCTTCAACCATGATACGTTGCATGTAATGACACCTTGTTAGCCACATTCAACCATGACAACTACACGTCTACTTATTGCGCTAGTGGCAATACAGCTACTCGTAGTATCCTTCTCACATGCCTTGAGTCCAAATGCAGCTGGACAGGCGTCGCGAAGGGCCTTTGTCGAAAACAGTATGGCCTCGGCGGCTCTTGGTTTCGTTGCTTGGCAAGGCTTACCTGCCAACGCAGCAGCAGCCGACAAGGCAGCGTTTGAAGGATTTCTGTCTCAAATTCAACGAGCCCGTCAGCAAATGGATAGTGTTCCGGCTTTGATTGATGCAGAAAAGTGGGACTCTGTGAGAGCGGTATGTTGAAATGTTGATGTGAAAGGTATCCTTCAACCAGCTTGCTAATTGCTTGGAATTCCTGCTGACCATTATGCCCTTTGCATTTTTGAACTAGGTTCTCGTTGAGCCTCCGCTAGCAGATTGCTGGGCCAAGACTAGTCGACCCTTGCTATCCAAGTATGCGGAAAGTTTGGGTGACAGCGGTGGGGATGAATTAGCAGCCTTGGAGGCCAAAGAAGAGCTGGTCAGTCACCTTCGGTACCTAGATATGGCGGTGTACAACAACAACTTCAACCCGATCACTGTAGAGGGAAAGAATGGAGCCACAAAAGAACTGATCCGAAGTTACTACGAAGACCCTATGAACGAATATAAGGCTTCAATTGCAGCATTGAATGATTTGATAAAACTAGCTTCCGAGACGGGATCATAATAATAATGCTATCTATCCCACCACTCTTCACAAAGAAAAGATCATTCTCATTCCATACATACTACTGTAACGGACAGGTACTTAGACAGGTAGATTGATATAAGTAGTATTGTATTATTTTATTCTTCGTCCCTTTCATATATAGACTTTCATGTTTCAAAATTGGCAAAATTGTCCTGTCACCATTCATGTACTGGCAACGCACGTGCATCAAGTTCATGCCTCCCCGGATAAATATCATAGGTTGAAGCTGCTCTCGACTGCTAAGCCACCATGACTAAAGAGAATCTCATTTTGATGTTCCAAGTAGTGAATGTCAGCCTTGCTGAGAGAGACGGGTTCAGATGATGATGAGTCCTTGTCCTTGTTGGGCATGGAATTCTCCGCCAATTGAAACACATAGTCATCATCGTCTTCATCCTCAATAATCTCGAGCCCGTACTTATCACTGTTGTTACCCTTGGCATCCTTCAAGACGGGCTTGAACTGGACGGATTTAGGAAGAGGAGCAACTTTATTGATACGATCAAAGTCTGGAGCACCAAAGCCAGCACCAGAAGCTAGACGGGCGGCGGCAGCAGCGTGTTTGACCTTGGGTGGACGGCGCATATCAAAGCATAGGTTTGGAATACCACGGAGAAACATCTGAAGTTATGAAAAAAAGGCAAAAGTCAGAACACTGATCTTGATCACTCGTAATGAAGCGGAGTGGTTCCATAGAATTCTTTGAACTTACATCGTGGTAGTAGGCATTCATGTCAGGGCCTTCCGTGATTCTGTTAAAAGCCCATCCGTTGACTTGTCTCATGAAAGATGCCATTCGGTCACTGCGGAAGAACTTGGGAATCACCTTCGATTCGAAGCCTTTTTGGTCCGTAACCTTCCAGGCTCTGCCATGTGGCAGCCAAGCGATGCAGTCTTGAAAGGCAGGGTTGGAAAGGATGTAGTGAAGCTTGATCGGGAAGGGCAGGTTCATGTCAACTTCGTAGGAGCTGTTTTGCTTTCTTGGCTTCTCAACAGATTGTCCGAACTCGAACAATGACGAGTCCAGCATGTTCATGGATCCGGAGACCTGTTTCATGTTGTTGGAGAGATTCTTCATGTTGAGCTGCGGGACCCCTGGGAGATCCTCCGGTAGATCATCAAAGTCTAGCTTTAAAAGTCCATCGTCTGGTGCTGGCACAATATTGCGTTGTTGAGCGGCGGTTGGGTTCATCATCGACATTTGAAATTTTATGATGAAGGTTATTGCAGCTTTTATTTTGTGTGCGTCGTGTGTCTTTGTTTTGTGCTCACTTCTTGTCTTGATTCAAGTACCCTCCCGAATTTTCATCGGACGCTCTTACTTAGGACAACGCACACTCAAAGAACATTTATTGATTTGAGGCAAGACTGCCTAATCATAGAAAAACAGTGCATGGTATCTATTTGTTAACGCTGCGCATCATACTATTAAGCCCTGAATCAGACATTTATTCAATTTCCTATTCCTTTTTCGCATTTTGTATGGACCGCCCAAAAAATAAAGGGTTCGCGCTTATATACCAGATGCGCTGTTCGACCTGCCAAAGGAATGATTTACTTTTTACGAAAAAAATTGGATTCCATTAAATAGACGCGTCAGGAATGAATCACTTCTTACGAAAAATCTGAAGTCCATTAAATGTGAGCACTATAAATCCCCAAAGTTGTGGTACAATCCTATTAACTGAAATAATCGTTGGTCGTATTGGCCATGTGATCAGAGGCTCATAGCGATGATTGGAACGATGTCGAAGCGTGGCTCTTGCTTAAACGGAATAAACATTGGTCGTATTCACAGGCTCAAAGCGATGAGCGGAACGATGTGGAAGCAAACGCTGATGGTAGTGATCACATCAAAGAATGAGGGTTGTTGTTTCGCCTTTTATTTGATAAGCCCTTTGAGGGTTGGCGCAAAGGTCGGACAAACAAAACAGGCCAAGGCGTCACTTTTGATCACTTTGGGCCAAAATTAAAACTACGAAAGCAGGATTCAAATTCAGTACCGTATTCAAGTTGGTCTTGTATCGCAACCTAGAAGAGAAAAGAACAACGAAATGGAGCCCCGACAACAAAGGCATTAAGCTCCCGCTTCCTCCTTGTGCGACCTTTTCACTTACTGGAGGACAAGTAATACCGTCTATTGTTAAAGAAGTTGTATTTTTAGACCTCCCTCCTGACTGAATGAGCCGCCGTGCAATGCACGTTTGGCACCTAGCACTGGCTCTTCGAGAAGCATACTGTACCGTCTTTTAAAAGCGTGGTCTGCCTTACCGTACAGTTAGTACCACACACCGCACCCAATAGCGGTAGTAGTGAAAGCTCAAAGTGATCAAATGTGATGTCTTGGGGGGGGTTGGCCTGGATACTTCTTGGGCAGTTTTATTCTGGCCGCACCACAACACCTACACAGTATCGTACAGACTTACTGAAGGATATATCATTACCGCGCATTTCCGCACGAAACGTATATCAAAATCATATACTTTTCCGCAATACCTGGAAATCATCTACCATACGATTACTAGTGAAATTTTAGTTCCCGCATGGTATTGCGGAAAAGTATATCGGCACTCCGGGTTACGAATACACGATGCGAATTCAAGTTGGGACTCATTTTGTTACGTAGAAATCGTACTAATTTGAACGTAGACCAGAATACTGGTCTGGTTTCAGATACCGCACGGTATATATTCAAATATGTACGAAAACATCAAACATCAATATCGATGGAACGAACAAATGAAACGAAACGAGACACGAGAAACCAAGATATTTATGTAAATGTAATACCTCTGGCCTCGCTGTGGATTTTCTCAATAATGGCTCACTGCAAAACCTGTACCAGGCAAGGGTTGGTGGCATCGCTTTTGTCAACCCATCATCTATCAACGGAACACGCTGCATGGACGGGGATACCACAAAACTTGCAACAAAACTTGCAACGGTGCGCTCCAGGTCCTTCTTTTGCACAAGACTCGGCTTCGCATCCAGCACATGCACATTTGCCCACTTTTGCTGGCGTTGTGCAAGGTTGAAATCCTCTTGTTTTGTTGCCAAACATATCAATCAGCCGTGGACGGAAATGGGCTTTGATTTCCACCACATTATTGGGGACACGATAACTTGCTACTTGATCCTCTTTGTGTTGGCGTCTGTTGAGTTCTTGTTGATATTATCATGGCCATGATGAAGACAAAGGACCGTCAGGAGCATTATTTTGGCTCTCTTTTGTGAAGAACATGCTGTATGGCATTCCTTCTTCATCTCCAGTTTCGACAACACTTCTTCATCCCGTGACTCAACAATCAACACTGTTCTGTGATGGCTGGTCCATGAGGCTATCGATGCTTTGATTTGATACCGGTCGTTGTTTTGCTTGGATGTCTGTGTTCTCTGCTGAGAAGATCACTGCCAGATGGCCGATATCGTTGTCAAACCGATGACAGTCTGTTTGCAACCTTGCCTTTTGCAGCGAACCATTGGGTCCAGCAGAGATACAAAAAACTTCTGGTTTAAATCCAAAATTGGATTGAGCCCAGAACACTAGTGGCGGCTTCTGTCACGACGAAAAGCAGGGATGTGGTGGAGTGGCGATACCGTTGTTCAAGTTTCGCTCCTAGAACGCATGACTTCATAGCCGAAGGTCTCCATAGTATAATATAACACCCCAGTATAATATAAGATATTAGTTGACTGTGAATCGTTTATTTGTATGTTTTTTTTCTTGGCACTTCTTCCCCTAGAATCAACCAGACATATTCTCTCCTAAGTATCGGGTCGGCGGCCATTTTGGTATCTATTGGAATACTACGTGTCAATTAATTGAGAAGGGCACATGCACTAGTACCTCACATCCAAACAACGAAGTATAGAAAAATATAACAATCATTTCTACTAAACTTTTTAAGGTCTTCCCCCCAAGATATGACAGGGAATTGTTACTTCATCTCCTCCTTGACCAAAATGGTTGGAGTATTTTCAATTTCGTCTCATTGTCGGGGCAAGAGTTAGAGGATGCACGATGTAGACCCCCTTGCAAGACTGATCACCTCTTTTGGGAAGGTAACACTTCTTCTTGAAGTACTACTACTATAGAGTAGTACTAGCTACTAGCCTAGTACTAGGCAGTGCTGGGCGTCGAAGATATGCCCCATGGTCCAATCACCACGATTCACAGTAGCTGACACATCGTGTTTCCTCCAGAGAATGCATGCCCCCCAGCTGGCTGGGGCGTTCCCTCTTTTCTCTCTTTGCGTGTCCTTGATGTGTTCTTGGAGTGAAATATGCCATGATATTTAAAAAATTGTGCCATGAAGCATCAAACGATATCCTGTGCTTCTATCCACGATAAGCTATGTTTATATGGTGATGGGACGTACAGACGTTACCGTATATCAGACGATATACGTTTCAGCTGGTCACTACAGTACGATCTTACAACACAACTATGAGGGTTCGCATTTTGCCACCGTATGACTGGCATTGGCTGAACACAGGCTATCTTATTTTCTTGCCTCGAAAGAACCTTGTAGACTACCAATACTACCCAATACCACACCTCACAACTGAGGGTGGCTGTGCCTTTGAGCTTCCTCCTGTATCACGAATAGCTTTCTTCGTAAGTAGCACCAGGCAGCATTATTACTAGTATCCTCCGATTCGGATCCTTTGCAGACTTCCTCGATGATTGATTCAATTATACAAAACCACGATAGATGAACCATAAGATGTCTTCATGACACTACCGGTACAACATCTCAATCTTCTCTTGTCGTAATCAAAAGTAGGTACTAGCTTAGTCGTAATTGGAGCTCACATCGCACGTCGCGCTTCAGACATACCATGTTTTGGCGGGATTGATTTCATTCTGCCACCATTCCGAAATCCAACTCCGACAGTGTCTTTTGCGACTTTTTTGCCGCATGTGCAATTCAAACATTTAGTGGCTCGCTATTGAGCCACATGTTTTGTGGCCTTATATATCTATCTTCGCGTAGGATCGAGCGATAATTTGCTTTCCTCCTGAATCACGAGTGCAAACTGTCACACACAAAACAGTTATACGGTACGAATTCACAAAGATGGATTTCAATTTGAAAATAACGAGAAAACACGTCGCAAGAAAAGACGTCGTTTGCCAATAAACCAATAAGATCCATCCACCCGCATTGGTTTGGGATTTTATAAAAACAGCATGAAGACTTATCGACATTGCCTCTTGCCAATGATGCTGTTCGGATTCGCTCTGTTGGGAGCCTTCGTTGATGGAGGACGACCACCACGACCATCAAGAAGAGGTGCCGATAGCAATGATGATTTTCTGACCGGCACGAAAGAAAGCAGTCGAGCATTGGAAAATGTTCAAGACCCAGGACCTTTTCGGATTGGAGATGAGATAGCCATTACAATATCCACAGATCCTGAAATCAGTCAAATTCAACCAGAAACATCAACAACAATTCTGAAGAACAAGAAGAGACAACAAGTTGAGCATACCTACACTCTGCACCACACAGGAGCGACGTACATTGCTCTCCACTTCGCGTCCATGGACATGGAAGGTGAATGCCAATTACGGGTGACGGATGGAAGTGGAAGACAAGCGTACACTATGCATGGAAATGACAAGCATGGATTAACTTCCTTCTGGGCTCGGCACGTCGCTGGTGATACGGCAGCCATGTCTGTTATTTGCAACCAAGATAAAGAGGATACTGGCAATTTTCTCATTGACAAATACGCAGCTGGATTCCGATCGTTGGCTGCTGCTGCCATTCCAGGAGGTGCTGGTGCCAGAAACCTTCGTGGGCTGGACGGGAGCGACCAGTTTACCGTTTGTGGCATTGATGATCTCCGCAATTCACAATGCTATTTGAATTCTCATCCTACGGAATACAAATCGTCGCGGGCAGTTGCCAAAATTATTACTCAGGGTACCGGCGCTTGCACTGGATGGCTATTGGGAAACGACAACGTAATTGTCACAAATGCTCATTGCATCAGGGCGAATGAGACTGCAGTCAATGCAGATTATGTGTTCAATTTTGAAGTGCAGAATGGAGGTGGGGATTGCTCGCAAAACACACCAGGAACAGAGTCTGTCCCGCTTACCTATCAGGATGTCTATGATGCAGAATCGATGATTACGTTCAGCCGACTCCACGACTACGTTTTGATCAAGCTCATAGATAAACCAAGTGCCCCATTGAAAAGATACGGGTAAGTTCTGTGGCTTCCGTTGGACTTGCAGTATTCATCTGTTTCATACTCTCTGACCAAATCTTTCATTCGTGACTTGCTCAGCTTTCTGGAAACCGAGTCACGGACAATTACTGCGGGGGAAGAGATTTATGTGCCGCAGCATCCTTTTGGAAATGACAAGGCTCTTGCCGTCTTTGATTCCGAATACGGGGTTGGACAACGATGTCGGACGGAGGAATCTCAAGTTGCTTGCTATGGTTACAGGGGCGACGTGCCCTATCGAGACCTACGATACACTTGTGACACGGAATCAGGATCCTCCGGTGCGCCGGTTATTTCGGTCGAAACCAACAAGGTTGTCGCCCTTCATCACTGTGGTGAACTCTTCAAGTGTAACGGGAACGAAGGGGTTCCATCGACCTTTCTTCATCAAGTATTTCAGGATGAGCTCGGTGACGGTTCGTTGCCACCCGCGCCTCTCACGTCAATGCAATGTGCTCCAGGCCAACTTTTGATGCTGTTGGAACTACAAACCGACTTTTTTGGATACGAGACAACCTGGGAGTTGCGAGACAGTGCCAACACTCTGTTGGCAGAGGGAGGGAAGAATCAGTATTACCGATCCAATGAATTATATTCCTTCCAGATTTGCCTTTCATCATCCGATGTGTACACTTTGACTATTGAAGATTCGTACCAAGATGGAATGTGTTGTCAACACAAGATTGGATTCTACAATGTGTTTTTCGGTGATCAATTGGTGGCCACGGGAGGAGATTTTGGTTCCAGCGTCACTATTGAAGTGGACAATTCTTCCCAATCGAGTCAGACTTCTGGACCGACGAGTGGACCAACTAGCGGACCAACATCGGCTCCCACGTCTGGCCCAACATCTGGCCCTACGAGTGGACCAACATTTGGTCCAACCTCTGTTCCAACATTTGGTCCTACTTCTGATCCCACGGCCTCGCCTACCTCCGGGCCTTCTTCGTCGTCTCCCACACCTGGTCCTACCTTTGGCCCAACATCTGGTCCAACTTCCCCACCTACTCGTGTGATAACATCGGGTCCTACGAGTGGTCCGACATTAGTCCCCACCTCATTCCCAACATCTGGCCCGACCAATTTGCCAACTACTGCTCCTACAAGTGGGCCAACATCTGGTCCTACTTTTGAACCAACATCTGGACCAACATCTGGACCAACGACTGGACCTACCAGTGGCCCTTCCCATAGACCAACAAACAGTCCAAGCTCTAGACCAACTTCTGGCCCAACAAGTGCGCCAACCCAGTCACAGACGTCTGTTTCCACAAAGCAAACGGAAGGAAACGGTGATCCACATTGTAAGCTCATTTTGTGCTTGTTCCGAACATGAGTTTTCCCTAATCGCTTGATAATATCACTAACGCTTTCCCTTCCTTGCTCTCTCTCTCTCTCTCTCTCTCTCGCCACAGTCAAGACATGGAAGAACGAACACTTTGAATTCCATGGACAGTGTGACATTGTCATGGTTTCCAACAAGGACTTTTGCGATGGTCGTGGTATTGATATTCACATCCGTACCAAGATTGTTCGATTTTGGAGTTACATTGAGAATGTTGTGATCCGAATCGGAAATGACATTCTGGAGGTAACGGGATCTTCTTCTCAGAAGGAAGACGGCAAGAGTAACTATTGGATCAACTACGAAGGCATGGGCGACTTGGAGGATCTATCTGGTTTCCCCGTATCGATCAGCGCCAGCACTGACAAGTACACGATTGATCTTGGCAGTCATTATCCTGGGGAAAAGATCGAGATCAGGACATTCAAAGAGTTTGTCGGAGTGAAGATCATTGGAGCAACCGAGTCATCCTTTGGTACTTCTGTTGGTATCACTGGTGACTTTATCACGGGCAACACCTATGCTCGTGATGGAAAGACTGTATTGAACGACTTTACCGAACTAGGAAACGAATGGCAAGTTTCGCCATCGGATGGTAGATTCTTCCACGAGGTAGCCCGAAGACCCCAGTTCCCGGAGAAGTGTTGGCTCCCAGAAGATCCTCGTGGTGATCGCAGACGTCGTTTGGAAGAGTCCAACATTACAGAAGATCAAGCGGAAGCCGCTTGCGCTGGACTCGATGACGAATTCAGCCGCAAGGGCTGTGTGTACGATGTTCTAGCCACTCAAGACTTGGATATGGTTGGCGCATACCAATCATAGACTCTTAGAGAATAGTAATAATCATGCTAAGAATAGACATATTTTAGAAAAACGAAAGAGGAACATCTGTCGAGTAGACGATTCATTCGAATTTGTGGCTAGATATGAACAGAGATTACAATCGACCTTGTTGTGTGACAATCGACCTTGGACGCTGCAAGAAGACATTTTAATCATCCAACAAGCTTCCCAATTGTGGAACAATAGCCACCTTGTATCCAAATCGCCCCAACTCCGCTTGAACTTCTGGCTGGTAATCCACCATTAGTTCCACCTTGACGAGTTGCCTCACCAGGGCTATTCTTCCAACCTTGCTCGAGGCCAAGAGAATTCGATGCGATGGCAATATCGATTCTTTCAAATCGCCAGCATGCAGAATGTTTTGTAATGAATCTTGCTGTTCTTGTTGCTCCTTCAGAGACGCAGGTGCCGGCTTGGAAGGATCAATGCTTCCAATGACAATGAGATTGTAGTAAGAACCCAATACTTGCAAAATGTGTTGCAATTTTGAAATACTACTATCCGCAGGAGTCAAAAAGGGCAAGGAAACCACCATGGTAGAACCCTTGGAAGGAGGTGCCGACAACGTCATTCCTGGAGAGGACCCCAGTCTCGACAATACCTTGGCTCGTTCTGTGCGACTGGAGGCATCCAGAGTGGTGACAGCTGCCTCGGTATGTCCAAATGCTACTAGACCATCCACTAGTGCCTTGTGACCACCCAATCCCAACTTGTCTTGAGTCGAAGTGACAAAGGATGGTTTCGATTGACAATCCAACAATACCTCGAGTGCATTGTCGCTCAAATTTTGAGGCGTGGGCAATCGACGGTCGGCCATGACTTGAGGAGCCGGAGCTGGCGCGGCAGGTCTTCGCTGTTGTTGGGGGGCCGAACGGACCCGCCGTGAATTGTTCTCTGCCACAGTAGGAGGAGGTGCTCCAGTGTCTTGGGCTGTGGGTTTAAGAAAGACCCAATAGAAAATGAGCGAGACAATCGCCAAGAGGACGGCAGTCCAATTGCTGGTGGGGTCATCATGTGGGATTTCTGAGGCTGTCTCTTCCTCTACAGCAGCTGCTGCAGCAATCAAAAGTGGGATCATGGTCTTGCAGAATGTCTCACGGGGTGTTTCCAGTTCTAGTTAGCTGCAATAGTCCAAAAGAGGGTTGTTGAGAACAGTGTCGTCACTCTTGGTTTCATTATTGTCGTGATGATGATTCTCTCGAGTGGCCGGGCAAGACTCGAAGGAGTCAATTTCACCTGCAGCACTACATCAGTACCACACAAGTTCCGATCCGCACACAATCGTCACTCGCCATCACTTCTGATTTTATAAAACTCATCTGGCATCTGGCAACTACCGGTATACCGTTAGCTCTGCTACGCATTGTTGCACCTTCTACAACCAATCCAAGACGGATTTTCCAATGCCTTTATCAAACCCCAAGAATAACCAATCTCTGCTCATAGCAGCTGGAGCTGTTGCCTTTACGTCGGCTCTTTGGCTGGTGGAATCCTACCTTCAAAATAGAAGAGATAAACAAGAGAGACAAAAGCGATACGAAACCTGCGAGAAAATACAATTGTCGTCCGTAGAAACTTCCTATGCCATGTTTCAGAGTATCCAAGGGATTTCCACTCTCACCTGGTACGATGGGAATATTGACCAGGTGCGACATGCCATGTTGGACAAAGTGATGGATATCTGTCTGGCCAATCCATGGTTGACTGGCCGCTTGGTTCAAACTGGTAATTCATCCAGTGATGTTTCCTTGGTATATTCCAACGCAACATCTGAAAGGATCAGTATTGTTAGCACTAGGTCATTTAAAGTCTTGTCGACTTCGGCTGGGATCTCTCGCGACACTCCTTTTCCAGAACTGCCCAAACGGTTGAATCAACTAGAATGCCTGGTCGGGCCAGGAATTGATCTTGTCGACAACGACGAATACTTTTTCAAGGTTCGATTGATCCCCGATTGCACCCATCCCACTAAAAAGTTTGCACTGGTAGTGTCCTTGGCCCATTGTGTCGGAGACGGACACACCTTTTACCAATTGCATAATATGCTGAGCATGAAGGATGCCAAAGTGCAAGTATTGGACCCTACTCGCAAGCCAAGTCTTACCGATGACATTGCTACTGCTTTGGGTGGAAAAGACCAAGCGGCGTCTCTGGCGGATCCGCCTCCAGGATTTATCGTCAGATTCCTAAAGGGCGTCATCCTTTCCACCCTGTTTGGTCCACGAACCAAGGTGGAACTCTTTTGGATCAATCAAGATTGGATTCAAAACGAAAAAGACCAAGTTGCCACGGATCAAACGAAAAAAGAAGGAAACGATACTAATGGGATCAGCTACGTGTCGACCAACGACATTCTGACTGCTCGATTCTTTCAGCTATGTGAAACAGACCAGGGAATCATGTCCATCAACTTTCGTGGCAAACTACCAGGTTGCGAACCAAACATGGCCGGTAATTATTTCAACTACTTGGTCTGCCGACCGGGAGATTGCGACTCTCCGGCACAGATTCGTTCGGCGGTCCAAGAGATTTGCAGTGGCACCCCACGGAAACCCACATCGTCACCCATGAGTTCATGGCAGCACATGGCTTCCAGTCGGCTCTTTGCGGCCACTTCCAACTGGACTACCTTTTGCAAACCAGTGTATCTTGACAATTGTCAACAAGATGTTCACATTCCCGTCATTCCCTGCGATTCCCAGTCGGCTCCAGCTCGGTTTGTGACGGGACTCTTTTTGTTTCGGCCGACCCATGATGATGCCGCAGGAGGCAAACACAAGATTGCGGCAATGTTTGCCGGACCACCCAAGGTACTGGAGACTTTGAAGCAGTCAGGAATGGTCGGCCCAAGTGTCCATTAGAAAAGGAGAAGGACTATCATTGTTTCACTTGAACGGATTACCGTGATGCCATCGCACCTGGTATGCCCAACCTCGCTCTTATCGTGGGACACTGTCTTGAGATGGGAAAAGAGTTATCAGCAGCAGCATGGGGGCAACATTTTCTCTCAATAAACTACTCTTGGCCATGGAAACGGGAATGGGTTTCTCACCTCGCCAGTCGTCCATTTCGAATGTCCAAATCAGTGATAGAGAAAATCCCCACGTCTTCTGGGAATGCGAGGGAAACAATCGGCCCAGCATGATACTGTATGGTTGCAAGCTCGAGTCTGGATTGGTTCCAACATCGATTTGTCTTTCGGTGTGCACAGAGGCAGAATTATGAGATCGCTTGAGGAAACAATCGGCCCAGCATGATACTGTATTTGCATGCTCGAGTCTGTCTGGATTGGTTCCAACATCGATTTGCCCTTTGATGTGTACCGTATATTAGCAGATTTGTTCGCCGTAACCCATGGATTCTCGTCGCTATGGAGTTACTAAAATCGTTGGTTCAAGATATAAAGCTCTAAGACTCGATCGTTAGTTCATTTTGTTGCCTGAACTTGCTTTAGGATCGGATGAAAGAATATTGGGCCTGAATCAGTACATCTGATCGGTAAAATCAATCGAGCACCAATATTTTACTTCCCTGATTCATACAATACACTCCATCGTGGTTCATTGATATCGATTTCGGCATAGCATCGAAAGCAAAGGACAGCAATGAAGTCGTGGGAAGAGCTGCGTCTTCGGGAAGAAGCGCTGGGTACGTCATAGTTATGCCTCGAACAAATATTATGGCTGGCGCACCCGCATGTCCTCATTTTTGTAATCATTCTGTTGCTGTTGCTTTAAAATTTCCTTTTGCTCTAATCAAAGGTGGGCTATGTGCAGGTGTGGTCGGGACGATAATAGGGTTTCCTCTGGATCTGGTAAAGACTAGAATGCAGACTGGAACCACAAAGCAAACCACGATTTTTTCAGTTGGTCAATCCATTGTGAAGGAAGAGGGAATACGCGCCTTGTACAAAGGACTGTGGCCACCGCTCATATCACTTTCCATTTTGAATACCGTTACCTTTGCGCAATACTCAATGTGGAGGGAGTTTTACAATGCCAACCCTGGATGGGATCAACGAAATTTCTTTGCTGGTATTTCTTGCGCCCCCGTGTCGGGAGTAGTGTCGACGGTCGAAAATCTTGTCAAGGTGAGTGCAGAAGCAGAACAAGGAAGGAATGAATCAATGGATAGATCATCACGTTGGTTCCAAGAAATGCCATCATCAATTATATGATTCATTTGCACCCGTCGCTTGGTAGCATACTGGGTATGAATATGCCACGGATTACTCATCATACTGCCCCTTTCGTAATATAATGTACAGACACAAATGCAGTTGGACAACATTACCACAAAGCAATATCGATCATCCTTTTCGTGTGTCAAGACACTGATTCAATCTCATGGAGTTGGGATAATCTACACGGGACACATGATCAATACAGTTCGAGAGGCGACCTTTTTGGGGAGTTACTTTTTTGTTTACGAAGGATTGCGAGAGGGACTTGTCCGTTCATCAGCCTTTGCCAATCATGTCCAAGTCGCGATTCCAATTGCTGGAGGGCTTTCTGGGGCCTTTTCTTGGTTCCTAAGCTTTCCCCTGGACTGTGTTCGAGCAGGAGTACAAGGCCAAAGGCTTCCACCGCAACTTGGTGCCAGACAAGTTTTGGTCTCTCTTTTGCGTGAGCGTGGAGTTTGGTCCCTATATTCAGGGGCCAGTGCATCGATAGCTCGAGCATTTTTGGTCAGTGGCAGCCGTTTCAGTGCCTACGAGGGAGCATTGTGGATGTTGAGGGGAGGGCGAAACTACGAACGTCACCATGACTAACAACAAGCAAAGGAGGAACCTATCATTGGAATGCATTTGCACACGGCGTCGCAACGTACAGCATCACCAAATAATAGAAATGCACCAATGCCAATGGACTTGCAAACGATTATAAGGAAGCTCAGCAGCAGCGGCGGCAGCAGCAAAAACAGCGGCAGGAGCAGCAGCAGCAAAAGAAGCAGCAACAGAAGCAGCAGCAACAGAAGCAGCAGCAACAGAAGCAACTACAGCAGCATACCACTGAGAAAAGCAGCAACAAGGCCAAGCAGCATCCTCCCATTAGAAAGTGTGGCGCTCCAAACAAAAGACCGGAGAAAGCAACCAGGAGAAACGAGAACGATATTTGAAACTCTTTCCGTAACAGTACTGTAGGTATTGATACTAGTTATACTGTACATATCGCAGATTGATTGATTGGATAATTCTAGTTCTTGTTTAGTATTCTAGTAAAGCAGTGCTGTGCTTGCGTTTGTGTGCGTATTCAGCAGCGCGCAATCAGGAAGCGAGGAGGAGTTGGATAGTATACGTCAAGAGATAATATCCATCTTCCTCGTCACTTTTTTAGTCATTGTTTGTGATTGTAGGAGTAGTAGTGGTAGTTGTAGTAGTTATAGTCAGTCAAGGGCAAGTAGTAGTAATGTCACCATTATCATCAAAAGCTTGATAATATTGTGTTTACTCTTCCTTGGTGGAAAGTTCCTTGAGGGCTTCTGCTGCTTCATCCGCACCAGCGCCACCGTCGGCACCTGGCTTGTCTTCACCAGCCAGTAGCTTTTCCATCTCTGCTTGACATTCTTCAAAATTCTTTTTGAATTCTTGAGCAATATCAGAGTCGGCAAATCTCAAAGCAAAGACAGTTTCTTTCAACTCTCCTTCGGCAAAATCAAAGGCCGACCAGACCCACGATCGGTCCGATCCAACATTGGGTTCCAATTTGATGCGTGGATCCAATGCGTGGTTGGCAATGACCTTCATGGTCTTTTCTTGACGCATTAGCAATCGGAGGCGTTGGTGTTCTTTGTGTCTCAGAATACGGGCTTCACCAATTCCACGTTCCTTCCATGTCTTGTTGCCAGACCCAACGTCCAACAAGGTTTCACCAAACAAAAACAGCTTGGATCGGACTCCGTAGACGGTTTCTTCGTCTTCTTCTCCGGATTTTACCTCTACTTCTTCCAATTTGACCTATTATAATATAATATAATATGTAATATAGTACGGAGAACCATTGGCGTTGGTGTGGAACGTTTGGAGTTGGGACGTATAGAGATGAAAAGTGAAACGGAAGCAGGAAAAAGCCAACACACACGTTTCAGTATCCAGAATTGGATTGTCCAAGGAAAAGGCAAGAGAAAAAGAGAGAGACAAACAGTGTTGGTGAGATGATTGCAACAATATAGAAAGATGGACAAAAGTAGGAACGGGATGCGGAAGCAAGGAAGCAAGCAACCAAGGCAAGACGAGAAGTTGAAAATAGCATTGGCTTTTTTCAATCTCTTTTCTTATCACAATGATGCTCCTTTGACTACATTCAAAAATGACTCACCACAGGTTCAAATTGGGCAGTAGATTCTTCCTCCTTGGGTTCTTCCTTCTTGGGTTCTTCCTTGGCAGGTGCCTCTTCAGCATCGGCAGGAGCAGGAGTTGCGGTCTTTTCTTCTTCACTCATTTTGAATATTAATTGGGGATGGGAACTAAATAAAAAGGTTGGCTGTTGGAATTGGCGCTTGTGTTGGTTGAATAGTCGATTGAATGGAATAGAGATAGAGATGGAAAGTCTATCAAACAAGTCAATCGATGGAAGGATCTAAGAATAGAGGATGGCTTGGTAGTGACCGTTGAAGGTAGCGTTGTACTGCAGTAGATGGGGATGATGGGCAGCTTTCCAGTGAAGTGTTGGACAGACGCAGGTTTTTGCTTTTGAATGGCGTGGTTGTCATTGCACGAGCAATGGCCGTAGACTTTGGTACAAAAAGTCACAAGGAATTTGAATGATTCCGTACTATGGCCAGACCAGGGAAGCAAATCGAAACTTCTTGGTGTACAACAAAACGGAAGACAAAAAAGTACTGTACTAGGTTTCTTGGTCTGTCCAAAGAGAAGTATTTTATGGATGTTTCTCTCTTCACGCTTTATGATTGGTGATGCTACACCGGTACACTCGCGCATATCATGGTTCACTATTTTCAATCCTCATTGAGGATCGGTGCTTCGAATTTCTGCCATATGCAAAAGTAACAGGATACAGTAGGTCTCTTTCAGGCAAAAGCTTGATCGCGGATTCGAACCACGGACCTCCTCATTACTAATGAGGTGCTCTAACCAACTGAGCTAAACAAGCTTGCCGCCTTATGCAGTTTTGACAGGATACAATCTTTGTTCAGAGCCAAGAAACACCTGCCGCTGCGGTACGCAGACTTCTGAAACATTCAGTGTACGTAGGTACTGTTTTCGGTAATTCAAGTGTCATTTGGAGGCAATGAGATTAGAGTATCGGACCGGTCATGTTGACCCATGGTTCATCCTTTAAGAACAAAGACATTGCTTTCGGGGGCCGCTGTTGGTCATCTTTTTTTATTTTAACAAGATATAAATTAGTCTTTTAATGTACGTAGGTACTGTTTTCGGTAATTCAAGTGTCATTTGGAGGCAGGTAGTAGTACTGTATCTTTTGACTGGTATACTTCTTGGCTTTCCAGAACGAACGCCATTTTCTACTGTCAATTCTGCTCACACAGTAGTAGCGTTGTAAATAGTGTAGTAGGTAGCAGGATGCCAGGTAATACGAGTCATTGTTCCACTCTTAAAAAAGCAGAAGAAGTGCTTTTGCGTTTGTAAAATGAGGGGCGTAACTGGCAGGGTTTTCAATTATGTCTTTTATCAAGACGCAGGCGATATGTGTACGGGTAATTGTTCTGCTACTGTAGCTAGTAGAAAAATGGGTGGTAGAAAAATTGGTACCGGTACCGGTAGCTTCCTAGAAGCCACATCAAAAAAAAGAACAATTACTCCGACGCTAACTACAAACGTGAAAAAAGTGCCTATCCGCACTGTACCAGGACCATACCTACTGGTATGGTTCGCCAAAGACTGAAATACTTAAAAAAGATATCGCGTAGTCCCAACTTCAGGGCGGATTTTCCGTCGAAGTGGAAAAGTCCGTTCTGCCCACAAGTGAAAAGAATTTTTTTTTAAAAAGGCTTGACGGTCGCATCACACCTCCCACAATCCCACAAAAGGCATCCCAGCAACACACCATGCAGTCAGCAATCTATCTCAACAACAGAGCCTCCTCTCTACTCGAAAAGGACTGCTTCGAAAAAGCCATTGAAACATTGAACCAAGCTCTGAATGCCGTTCAAAAGGTGCCAAAAGACGAATCGTCGTCGTCGTCATCATCATCATTATCATCCTTTAAGAATTCACCAAAGTTCTCTAGACCACCAAACGGAAAGTATCTGTCAACATAACAAGAGACGCAAAGAACTGGATAATCAAGAGGTGTTTATGTACTCTCGACCAGTATACGTGTCGCATCTTCCGCAGACAGAAGGAAAAAGATTCTTATCCTGGGTCATCATTTTCAACTTTGCCTTGTGCCATCACCTCATGGCACTCCGAGCAGCGGACTACAAGGACAAACACGAAAACCTGCTTCAAGCTCTGAAACTGTACGAAGCATTAGTTGCCTTGCCAATGGAAGGCACTTTTCAAATCGAGACCACCTATTTCATGGCCATGATCAACAATTCGGCACAGATTTACCAAATGTTGCATCGACCAAGACAAGCCAAGCAACACTCGGATCAAATGCTTTCCTTACTCATGGTCACGATTCAAGAAGGGGAAGCTGACACAGTGGACGGGTTTGACGGCTTTTTGCTGAATGCCACGCGAAGATCTCTTGCGGTCGCTGCATGAGCGATTTTGTCCAGAAATCCTCGCGCCTCCAACGACCATCACATGACATTATGTGTAGTATGTAACCCAATATGTTTGCTTATCATGCAAAATAGAGTAAATTTATCCAAATAAAAATTTTAGAACTCAATATTCTCTCATGATTTTCACGTATCATATGATCCGTCATTTGTGCAGAGCATCATTTCATAAAAGGGTTGTCGCAATCATGAACAATGAATCTAACATGGCCTACTTTTGACCACATCAACAATTGAGCAAGTCAACGAAAGGTTCCATTGAACTTGACAAGCAAGCTTGCGGCTGATGGTCTGAGTACGCTACGTGTTGACAAAGGGTCTGGTTCGTGGATGGTGAGCTTGAAGCCGGAGCTGTAGGTGATACAGTTGGCGACGGCAATGACCCGACAGAAGTTGGAGAGACTTTGTCCGACTGTTGCTTGGCGGTCTAGATGAAACATCAGTTCGTCGGGCAGATGGAGCTTCGGAAGGTTTCACGTTGATGATATTTCTTGCATTCACAACAAACCATCAATCTCCAACTTTGATACCATGTTGTAGCCGTTTGTCCATTCCTCTACCGGTAGTATAACGGCCTCAACATCGGCAGAAGTAATATCAGCGCACCCAACAGTAAAGAAAACTCCACAAGGACAACATAGCTTAGCTCGGGAGTTGTTGCATCCGCACATGCTGTACCTTTCAGCAATTCGCCTTCTTTGACACTGGCGAACAGAATCACATATCGAGACTCATCAAGGACTTCGTCTATTTCTTTCGAGGTTCTGGTTGTGCCAATACGATGAGCTTTCGCTGATCGCCATTAGTGCAACCAGCCAAGGCCGGAAGCAAGAGCTCTTGAATTGAATCCAACAAGGGAGTCAGTCCAGAATCACCCTTGACATTGATCAAAATGTTGGCATTCCAGTTGCCCTTAGATAATGTGTTGTCTCCCGGAATGGTCTGGTTGTTCCTAATGGCAGCAAGGTCTTTCGGGCTTGGTGGATCCAGAACCTGCTTTTTGGATGGTGCCGCTGTTGGTGTGCAATTTGGGGAAGCGGCTGGAGCCTCAGGTACAAGTTCAAGCGATTCAGTGGTAGGATTATGGGAAGGGCCTGTCCACCTCAATCATCGTCACACTGTCTGAGAACAGCAAAGGCTGTCACTCCACCGCCAGTGACAAGAATTACCAATCATCAACAATTGGGTCCGCCTTTGACGAATGGGGTCCATCGTGAATCATCCTACATGGAACCACATGACCATCCACTGGCGGATTTAAATGCTTATTGTTTGGAGGCAGCGTTACACGTTATTCCTCCCTCTGTCTTGCGATTTTTGGCTTCTGATATACAATCTATAAGTACACTTCTTCTTCAGCAACTGCTGTGAGATTAATTGGAGGGTCTCTTGTAGCATTGTACAGCTGAGAGCTGGTCTTCCGGAGGATGCTCCTGAGTTAGTCGAGATGTAGGTGGCAAGTTCATATGTCGACCCACTACGAACCGAAGCTGCAGTAACAGCTGCTGCAGGAAAGCGCTTGTCCTGCTTTTTCACCGTTTTGGAATAAAACAGTTTGGGCTGGATATTCAGTTCTTGAATCCACGCTTGCGGCGTTTCGATTTGGCTGCTGTCCAAAAACTCCTGCGTGCGGGGACTTCAAGGACGGCAACCTCGAAGGTTTCTTCGCCAACAGCGATGCAAGCTCCAAGACGGCATGGTGCCATGACAATTCCACAAGGAACTGAGCAGAGCAAATCTCAAGCACGAAAATAGGAATACATAGCGCTGAATGAGGCAATATAACGATTTAGTAGTGCAGAAATCTGGCTTCTCGCTCGACCAAAGGAGGTATGGTACTGCCAGAAGACTTTCCTTCTTGGCTTTGGACACTTTAGAATTCCTCACCAAGAACGAAAGCAGTCAATTCAATTCTGCTCAGAGGTGGGACTAACAGGTAATATGTAGACTTTCATATCACGACCCACTGTACACGTACGTACGCGTACGTGTACAGGACGTGCACTGTACTGGGTGCGTCTGCAGGTCATTGTTCCACTCGAGAAAAAGCAGAGCTGCTGGGGCGTTTTTTTTCGGATGTATCGAACTTTGCCCGGATTTAGGAACAATTGCTCCGATGCTAAGTATGAACGTTAACAAAGTGCTCTATCCAAACAGATCGCCCCGGATTCGCCGAGCAAAATGTTTTTGGTTTGGTTCCTGTTCCATAACCAATCCCAACTTCAGAGCGGATTTTCAATCCAAGTGTAAAAGTCCGTTCTGCTCAAGTGAGAAAGAAATTTCGATGCTTGACGATCACATCACACCTCTCACAATCCCACAAAAGGCATCCCAACAACACACCATGCAGTCAGCAATCTATCTCAACAACAGAGCCTCCTCTCTAATCGAAAAGAATTGCTTCGAAAAAGCCATTGAAACGTTGAATCAAGCCCGGCATGCAGTTCAAAAGATTCAGACAAAGGACGAATCATCATCATCATCAACCTTTGAGAATTTACCCAAGTTCTCAAGAAGACCAAGCGGAAAGTATCTGTCAACATCAAACAAGAGACGCAAAGAACTGGATAATCAAGAGGTGTTTATGTACTCCCGACCATTGTACGTTTCGCATCTCCCGCAGACAGAAGGGAACCGATTTTTATCCTGGGTCATCATTTTCAACTTTGCCTTGTGCCATCACCTCATGGCACTCCGAGCAGCGGACTACAAGGACAAACACGAAAACCTGCTTGAAGCTCTGAAACTGTACGAAGCACTAGTTGCCTTGCCAATGGAAGATACGTTTCAAATCGAGACCACCTATTTCATGGCCATGATCAACAATTCGGCACAAATTTACCAAATGTTGCATCGGCCAAGACAAGCTAAACAACACGCGGATCAAATGCTTTCCTTACTCATGGCCACGATTCAAGAAGGGGAAGCTGACACAGTGGACGGGTTTGACGGCTTTTTGCTGAATGCCACTCAAAGATCTCTTGCCTTTGCCGCTTAAGTGATTTTGTCAAGAGTTCGCGCCTCCACAAACCATCATATGATGTTCATGCAACCCAATATATTTGCTGTTAATGCAAAGTAGAGTAGAAGTCAAATAAAAATATAGAATACAAAAATGATTGAAATTGAAGAGCTTATGAAACTGTTAGATATTATATGCGGTATTAGGTGTCATTCCGACTTAGCTGCACGCTGTACAGGTTTTAACGTGTATGCTCACGATGGTTTTAACGTCTAGCGACGACCAAGTTATTAGTTGCTATTTCGGTTTTGTATAGTGGTTGTCATGATATACAGTGTTACTTTGTCAGCGACGTACATTCCTATACTCATAGAGGAAGTTTTGCCTGCGTTCGTTCGCTGCTGTCCCATCATCATTTCCGGCTATGCTCAATAGTTGGTCAAACGGTTCATGCTAGCAAGGGTCATTAGCGGTCCATGTCTGATTTGTTTTCTTGAAACCTCTCAGACACAAGTACACGTTGTCACAATTGTCCGCACTGCCGCAAGCAGGGTGTTGTTGTTGGTATGTAGGATCACCACACTGGTTTACTAACACACTCTCGCACAAGCTCTTATCGTATATATCCTTTGATAGTTTCGTGTGCAATCCTACAGATGACTTCTCTATACAATGGCCATAGCAAGAGTCAGGCCAGGAGCTCATGTCTCTATCGAAACACTCAACAATAGGCGGTGTTATACCATCACAACATATCCCGTCTCCTCCTAGTGGCTTGTCATACGTACCACCTGGTGTTATCTTTACCGAGCATGGTGCTTTCCTGTGCCCTGTGACGGTATATTCCTGTACCACACCGTTTGTGATACTGGGAGTTACGTCACAATTGATTTCTGCGTCGTAATTTGCCAACATTGCCGTAACCGTGAAACTCCCACTTATATCGCGAGCATGTATATATACTTCTGCTCCTTGTGTTCCGGAGTGAGACACATCAAACAACCACGTTCCTGTTGATGTCCTATCGACTACTACGCGGTCTTTCCAACTCCTTGACCCCTTACCGTCCTGTGTGTGACATGCGAGGTGTTGTGGTGGCACATTCCCACCTTGACCATGGTATGTGACCACTGCTCTTTCCCCTGGGTTGCCGTTCTGGACGTGAAAATGGAGTACCGCCCTGTCGACACTCCATGAGTGCATGTCAATATATATCCCAGTGTTAACGTGGTAGGCGTCGACTGCATGTATATCAACTAGTTCACGTCTTACTCTACCACCCCCGTGACAAGCCTTGAATGATCCTTCTACCGAGTACTCATAGTTATCTATTATCCCGCAGGCTAGATCGAGCATCTCGTCATTAATTGTTTCATTGTTAGACACAGCCTCGTTAACTTGTACACATAGCTCAGGATCCATCATTACAGTACTCGGCGTATACCCGAACCACGTAATTGTACATTGTTCCTCTTTTCCAGTATAACCAGGCGGATCGGCGTACACGGTTCCGCCTCCGACTGTATTATGATTGGCTCCTGTGTTACTCGAACCACGTCCACCTACGCTGATTACATACCCCACCGTCAATGCTGTGACTACCGTGATTGTGATTGCCAATATACAGTAAAGACACCGTTCAGTTACCTTCCCGCTGCTAGTATATCCACTACCCGAACCCTTGGCACTAACATTTTTATGTATGTACTTATCACGCATTATTCCGTCGTTTACCACTGTTTCACCAGGTTCACGCTCACTCTCTGTGGTACTTGTTGGTTTATCTTGCATCGCGTCCACCTCTCGCACTAAATCTGAGCAATTCATAATGCACTCTATGTACGTATAGAATCGTGTCGTATGCATGTATTTCTGTGTGCTATACTCTGTTATGTTTTACTTTGGCAGCACCGTCCGACTGATTATACTTCCTGCTCACCTATGTACGTTAACTGACTGAGTACTATGTATGACTAGTTGTGTCTTCGTTGATTTTACTGCGATCCTTCTTTAAAGATGTGTTTCGTGTTTGTTTTTGTAGGAGCACTGGTTGGCTTATTATACCTCCTACTTACTTGCGCGATTTATATGCGGTATAATATTTGACTGAGGTTTTTGAGATTCCAGATTCCTTGGTGAAAGTGAATTAACGCGATGACCAACCAATAACGTAGTGAAAAGAATCCAGCAGATAAGACTCTCCCAAATGTTGCCAGCCGGCCGCACGCCTACCTGTGTCCGCAGAGAGCCCAAACCAGGTGAAATTTCCAACGATTTTTCGAAAACAAATTAAAATTCCTAATTCCTAAAT